GACCCGATCATGGCACTGAACACGGACAGGTTGCCTCCCACCAACTTTCCTCGCGCACGGCCTGTGGTGGGGATCGGTCAGCCACGGCTGTCGGGTGGTAATCGGTCTATCTATGAGGAGAGCTACGGTACCGGAGGTGATGGTTCGGATGGGCACGTTGTCGGTATTGGTGAGACGAAGCGGGGCGGCCTGCTGCACCATTTGGTGAACGACCTTGCCCGACACACCGTCACCCTTGCTCCACCACTGATCCAGTCCCATCGGCCTGTACCATGGCACCACACAGCACAACACAGCACAACGCAACGCAATGCAACGATAGATGCACACGCGTGGCTCGGTTGGGCGTGGCACACAGTGGCGCAGTGGCAAGAGCAAAGGCCAGTGTGTACCCGTGGAAGGTCACGAGGCCGGTCTTGGTGTGAATGGCGTTGAGAAGACCCGTGAGGTCGCTGTAGCCCATGATCACCTTGGGGTTGCGTGCAATCACTTCGTAGTCCAGCTGTGCACATTTTTCTTCCCTTTAGAACCCGACCGCGCCCACCACCTAGCCCAATCAGTGTGTCGAGCCCGGGCTCCGTACCATGTCGATGAAGCGGTTGCAGCCCCAGCCTCCTCGGTTGGCAACGATCATCTTCACGCTCGGGTCTTTGAACATCGCCATCACGTCGTCGGCTCGCTCTGCAGTGGCGTCGGTTGGCTTCGTGGTTGGGGGGGGGGAAGACGAAGACGAAGACAAGGCGAAAAGAGAGAAAGAGAGAAGGAGGGATGTGTACGTACGTTGGTCAGTCCCGGCCAAGTAGCCGTACTCTTCGAAGCAGTGCGGGGCAAACTTGGACTTGAGGCCCAGCGGAGAGACCGTCTGGTTGATGTGCTCCGGATAGGTCTTCGGCGTCCAAGATGTGTAATAGATGGGACTCGCTGCCAATTCAACCAATCCGAATCGTCATAGATGACAAGCCAAGAATCGTGAGAGGCGCTTAATCTCGTGGCTCTTGCCCCCCCCCGAGGGTCCTTACCTGGAGAGATGAAGCCAACAGTGTCTCCCGGCTTTACCACCGGTGCGAGGAACGGTGCCGCGGCAGCGCTCATCGTCGCCTCCATGCCTACGATGAAGACCACCAGCAACAACACACAAGAGCCGAGACGTGCCATCGCGTGTTCTTCTCCGTTTCTGTCGCGGCCTTGCAGAAGCAATTTATTGCCCTCCCCCCCGGTGAGACGGCTGCGGAGGAGAACGCGCAAGCGATCGCGTTGTCTTGTCGCACACACACGCGCAACGTGATGAAGTTGGCCGACGCAACAGTTTGCTTTCCTCGTGCGCACTGTGAGCCTCACGCTCTTCAGGGTTCGATTTCGCCGAGGTAGATCTTCTTGTCCGAGCTGCAGGAGGCGATGATAGGCTCGTCGGGGTGGAACGCGACTTCGTTCACGGTTCCTGAAGAGGGCGAGAAAACAAACGGTCGATTATGGTGAGGGCAAAGGGCGCAATGGGAGGGAAAGAGGGGGGAGAGGAGAGAGAGAAGAGAGAGAGCTGTGTAGTACACACCTGTGTGTCCTGGAAGCTTGTAGATCACCTGCCTTGTCACGCTGTCCCAAATATACACAAGTCTGCGCACACGACACGCACGCGGTAAGAGGCGGAGCGGAAAGGGAGGCTTTGGTGCCAACGAACCTGTCAGCAGAACCAGCAGACACTCTGCTGCCATCAGGCGACCAGTTCACCTTCAGCAGATTTTGGTCGAATCCGTGCTGAATGCAAGAGGCGATGGGGAGAGGAATGAGTGAGTGAGAACAACCACGTGATAGGTGCCAAAGGCAAACGTGACGTGGAGAGGCGTACCACAGCTCCTGTGAACACCTTGGTGAGGCGGTTGTCGCCGGGAATGTAGGGGCGCATGTCATGCACGTGCAACGAGTTGTCCTGCGCAATAGGGAGGGAAAGCGGTTAGAAGCAGCTATTACATCGTTGATCGTCGGGTGATGGTTTGAAGCCTACCATGGCGTTCGAAAGCAGGAAGTTGCCATCGGGGCTTAGCTGTATCGAGGTGATGATGTCCTTGTGCGAGTTGACGCTGAACGCCAGATCGTCCCTGCGAAGATCCCACACCTGCACAGAAGATGTCAGAGCGCGGTATCCCTGGAGACTCGTGTGTCTTTGTAGGTGAGGTACTTACGTGGACTGTGCCGTCGATGCCGCCGAAATAGACCTGGTCGTTGTTGTGCGAGATGGCGACAGAGGTGACCTGGTATTTGTGGTTGAAGGTCTGTGCGCTCCTCTTCCTACGCAGGTCCCAAAGCTACGCGTGCGGTGGGAAGGCGTCGAGAAAGTGACGATCAGTCTAAAGCGTTAAAGCGAGCACGGCCAAGTCCATGACCACGCTGTGGGACGAGGGTTGAGACAATTCTGTATGGCGGGCGGTACCTTGACGGCCTTGTCGTCCGAGCCACTCACGAGCAGGTTGCCCTTCTTCGACGGACAACAGCTGTTGACGAACGACGTGTGTTCGTTGAGCTTCTTTACTCGCACGCCCACCACGGTGTCCCACGCCATCACAGTCTTGTCCGCCGAGGCAGAGAACAGCCGCCTGGGATGCAAACAGGTAAGTTCAACGAGTGAAGAAGAAACCACGTGAACGGAGGTGGACAGAAGAGCAAACAGAAGCAACACGCACTCTCCATCAGTGCTCCAGTGGATCTCCTGGACGGCGTTCTTGTGACCATCGAAGACATGGTAGTTGGCGCATTCCTCCTGGACCTGCCACAGGACTATGACAGTAGGACCACCGTACAGGGCGACGGTCAGCTAATGGCGTTGAGGAAAGGCAATGGCTGGCACGAGCGTGAAGGCCGCCACAGGACACTAAAGGTTGCCCAACAACATACTGCAAAAGGGCAGAGACCGCAAGAGGTCGCCTACGTACAAATCCTCTTGTCGAAACCAGCCGAAGCAAGAGACTTGCCCGAGGGGTCGAACTTGCAGGTGTACACCTCGGCTTGGTGGCCCTCCAACACCACAATGGGGGCGATGAGGCTAGATGTGCGGGGAACGCCCTGTGCAGCATTGCCAGACACCGCATAATGGGGGGGGGGAGCTTTAGATTTACAAGCTCAGGCCGGCAAGAAATGCTGAGGGAGAGGCGCCATACCGCGGCTATAAGCTCTCGTCCCTTGATTTCATCAGTCTTAGGTCTTTTCACCACCAATGCCTTGGAATCTAGAATGGAGAAAAATTGAGCAACTGCAGAGATATGCACATCCTAAAGCACCGTTGAACGTAAGCCCTTATACCTGTGGTGTTGCTTTCGAACTTCCTCTTTTCCATGTTCTTATATCTCAGTGTAGATGGCAGATGAAAGATCGAAGGGACGAATTCGCTGCCTGGGGGCTGCCACTTTTTTCCTGCCGGGCAGCTGTTGCGGAGAAAGAACGGAAAAATATTAAATTCAACAACGAAATCATCAAACCCCCAACCACACGAACACAAATGGAAGGTGGCAACAACGGACCCACTTCAAAAGAACTTTTGTTCTGCAGTGGAGACGAAGGTAGGTGAATGGAGGATTTTCCGCGATTTTTCAATCTTCTGTTCCTTACAATCCGATCTTCTTCCAGAATCGAAGCTCTTCGTTGCTGATGGAAAGGACAGAGTAAACCCGAAGCCACCACAGATCTCCCGACTCCCACCGAGTGCATGTATGATATTCTTTGTTTGGCGTGCAGCCGCTCTCGTTCGTGTTTGGCTGACTGTCCCACGCGCGCTCAGTGCTGGCACAGGCACGCTCCTTCTTGCCGATGCTCGCAGCGGCCAATGCCAAGCTGGAACAGACGCTGGCAGAGAACCCTGGTAGCCTTGACATCGAAAACGTCGAAGAGGGCAAGCCCTACGTAGAGATGGCACGTTGCTCTCACCTCACTACACGGCAAAGCGCCAGCGTTGCTGCATTCGCTAACTGAATCGCGCTGGTCGTGCTGACGTGTGCAGGACCTGGCCATGATTGGAGAGAAGAAGGATGGCGAGTCCAGCGACAGTGAGGATGACAGCGACGACGATGATGATTCCAAATCGGAGAGCAACGAGGAGGCCAACGAAGAGGAGGAAGCGGGCGAGAAGGAGGAGGAGACCACCAAGGCACCAGCACAGCGAAGGAAGCCAATCGAGGAGATTGGAGGCGAAGAAGAAGAGCAAGGCGAGAAGGAGATGGAAGAGTAAGAGAGATACCCACACCACTTCCAGTCTCGCTGCACCACTTTGATTTTCTTCTTTAATTTCTCTGTATTTTTTGTAGCGGGTTTTTCGCGCTTTGTTGGCGGCACCTTCGTTTGGATTTCCGTCTCCACTAGCCCACCTTTCCCACACATCTTGCTCGTGGGAAACCTTGGTGGCATGACCCCCTATCTTTCGTCTTGGACGAGCACGAGAGAGACAGAAAGCAAACCCACAGATCAATTCAACCATTCAATTAATTCAATAGAAAGATGGAACCGATGAGCACGGAGAGGTACCCCCACCCTACGCACCCGGAGGTGGGGAGAGCCGCGGCTCAGCCTCTTTACGATCCGACGTTGGTGGGTCCGGCCGCGCCCGGCCCGCACCGCCTGACGAGGGAGCAGCTCTTTCATGACATGAAGGTGCGCGACCTCCTGCTGGCTCTGGGCGTATCGCCTGGAGGACGCGACGTCATCTATTTCCAGGCGCACACCACCATCGAGACCGTACTTGAGGTTCTCTCTCTCTCTCTCGGTGAGCAGTGAACTAAGTGTGGTCATTGTCTTACTCGATGGACTTCATTCTCAACAGGCCATGGCAAAGGAGCGTATACATTCAGCCCCCGTCTGGGTTGAGCAGCCCGAACGAGGCTACACTCAGGTACAATGTGCAGATCGTGAAGTGGCACTCGTGCATGGTGGCTCAGATCGCTGTCTCTGCTATTCAGGTGGACGTGCAGGACCTGGCGGCCGCACTGTTCTCCCTTCACGGCGACGACGTAGAGTCGGTCAAGAACAGCTTCTTCCAGCGACAAGTGCTTTCCGTCGCCAGTACGCTGCCTCCTCGCTTCACGGTGATGGGCCTACGTGGGCGTACACTGACGTTCGTGCTCAGGTCTGGCGCAGCGCGACCAGATGCGGCCTGTCACGTTGGACACCAGGGTGGGCGATGTACTCTTGGCCATGGTCAACATCGCTCATCGTGTCGTCGTGGTTGACGACAGCCGGTTCGATTCATCCAAGCTGCTGCACGTTATAAGGTGACACATTCTAGCCTTTGGGGTGGGACGCGGGCAGTTTGCATGCCAGAGGCGACGTTCCTGTCTGACACCGTTCCTTCAGCCAGTTTGATATGCTTCGATTTTTGGACAAGTACGCGGCGCAGTTCCCCATCGACCTCAACACCATCGAAGCGTACCAGCTCATGAACACGAACGTCGTTTCTGTGCCACCAACAACCCGGTACCCATCAAAGGCCACCCCCGCACACTGCACGCGATACTAATCTGTGCCAATCTGGTGACCAAACCAGGGCTATTGAGGCGCTGAGCAAGTGCCTGCAGCACAAATTCAGCGGCATGGCCATCATAGACCCGGCCAACAACAAGTTCGTGGGTCACATTTCTGTCAGCGACCTGCGGGTACCTTGCAACACCCCATTGGCCTTGCACCAGAACGATCGTTAACGACGGCTTGGCCCTTGAACTCCCAGGGCATCACTCCTACAGACTTCATTGATCTCTGGCTGCCGGTAACGCAGTACCTCGAGCGTCGAGGATTGGTACGTTCAAACCGCAATTCCATCCATGGCCAGCACTGCAGCGGTGGTGGCTTACAGGGGCTTTTCTTTCACACAAAGGCTTCACGTCCTACGATTTGGTGCCTGCCCGGTTCTCTGTTGCCGGAGATCATAAGGCGGATGATCGACAATCATGTTCATCGGTACCACTCACCGCCACACTTGCGCGAGGACCGAGATCGAGCCGCGGGCTTACCTACTTTCGTTCGTGTCGCTACAGGGTGTACATAGCCGATAGGATAGGCCACGCCGCTGGCATTATCACCATCACGGACCTGCTGGCCTACCTCCTTGCCCGCCTCTTCCCTGGCGAGTGAGCGGCGGCGATAACCCCCTTCAATACAAACGTTGACGTTGACCTTGCTGCCCCCCTTGACGCCGACCGCGATTTTGGTGTATCGCCGTTCGAGTTGCGGCGTGATTTGGGGGGGGGGGGCGCACAAAAGCACGGCCAGAAGTTCTTCAAGCAACAGAGAACAAACAGCAGCAACAACGCACCATAGACACACAATGAGCAGCAAGAAGGTGATCGCAGTCCTGGGCGTCGGACCTGGCATCGGCCGTGCGGTGGCAGTGAGGTGCCAACGCACAGCGTTCTACGCTAATACCCTGTTGTCGCATCGATCAGCTGCTCACATCTTGCCATCCAAATCGATTTTGCGTACAGATTTGCAAAGGAGAACTTTGCCGTCGCCCTGTTGGCTAGATCGCCTGAAAAGCTTGAGGCGGTGGCCAACGAGATCAAGCAGCACAGCGTACCTTCCCCCCCCCCACTGCAGGCGTCAACCACACTCACCCCAATGGCGTTGGTGTAGCAGGGAGCACAGACGTTGAGCATTCCCACAGACGCCAGGGACCCCGCATCGGTGAAGCAGGCCTTCGAGACCATCCGCAAGGAGCTCGGTGCTCCAGACGTGCTGGTGTACAATGCGGGAGGGTTCAAATATGGTGGCATCCTGGACATCGACCCGACTGAGTTCGACAACCTGTGGAAGGTAAGGCTCTTTGCCGCTGCGTGAGTGGTGGATCGTGTATGAGTCGCGCTAATGGTGTAAACCTATTGTGACAGTCCAACTGCTTTGGAGCGTTCCTCGCCACGCAAGAGGTCTTGCCGGGTATGCTGGAGAAGGGCAGCGGCACCATCCTTTACACCGGCGCAACGGCTTCCCTGCGCGGCGGCGCCAAGTTCTCTGGACTGGTGCTCTTCCCACCCTTCGTTTGCATCCTGATGTACCAGCGCCTTGTGCTCAGAACCTTCAATGTTTCCTTCTTAGGCCGTGGGCAAGTTTGCCTTGCGTGCTCTGGCGCAGTCAACCGCAAGAGAGTTTGGCCCTCAGGGAATTCATGTGGCGCACATCATCATCGATGGCCAGGTGGACCTGGAGCGAAGCATCAAGGTACCACCACACTAGATCTTGAGGCCGTTCCCGTTACAACAGGTCTCTCACACCTGGAAACCTGTACAGGCACAGGAAGGGCGTGCTTTGGACTCGTTCCTCAGCTCCGACGCCATCGCAGAGGAGTACTGGCATTTGTACACCCAGCACAAGACCACATGTACGAACAGCGCCGCCCATTCGTGCTCATTCATGCTTCATGAGCCCCAACACTAACACCGCTTCTTCTGCCCACACGCAGGGACGCTGGAGCTCGACCTCCGCCCTTACGTCGAGAAGTTCTAGCCAACCCTCCTCCCAACACTTCTCGTTCAAGCTCAGTGTATCCCGCGTGGATGGCTGCACTCGGCTGAACGTAATAAGGAGGGACGGATGGCCGAGTTGGTCTAAGGCGCTACGTTCAGGTCGTAGTCTGGGTCTCCAGGCGTGGGTTCGAATCCCACTTCGTCCAACATTGTTTTGCCCGGTTTTTATCCCAACAAAGTGTCTTTGGAGAAGTTGGCTTAGCTCCCTCGTTTGCTTTGCGTACTGCTACCTAAGATCACAGATGGATAGATACACGCCCACAGGACCAACCTTGGTCAGCATGCCCGCCGAGTTGCTGATCTCAATCTTTGGCTGGCTGCAAGCTGCGGACATAATGGCACTGCGAGTGACGTCGGCTCTGCTCCACAGATTGACGTTCGATGATGCTGCACTGTGGCGCCCCTTCTACCTCAAGACCTTTGGCCACTCCCGGCCCTGCAAGCCAGCGTCCCATACCCCCGAGAGCAGCACCAACGCCGAGCTCTGGCAAGATTACCACCTGCACATACCACAGGCCAAGGTAGTGGACACGCTCATCCGTCGGTTCCAACAGACGTGGGAGTGGGCGTACAAGGTGCACACTCCGATCCACTGCACCGACTCTTGGCCAGCTGTTAGGCTCCGCCTCGTTCGTAACGCCCCCTTTCGTTCATCGCGCTTTAGAGCAGGGTGTTGGACTTGGTGGAGCTCACGCGCAAAGGGGCAACGTGCTACGCCATGCCCAAGGTGAGGTTCCCGCCCGAGCGCTGGGTGGCGCGCCGGGATGAGCCCGAGCAGGGCATGTGGCGCTACGAGGGCGAGTGGTCAACAGACCTGAAGAGGTTCGTCAGGTTCTTTACCTTGATCTCGACGTCGGGTTCAACTTGCACGGCACTTATGTGAGTGGGTACCACTACCGTAGGGAGGGCTACGGTGCTTGCCGCTTTCTGAACGGTAACCTCTACTGCGGGCAATGGGCGCACGACATGATGCATGGCCAGGGTGCGTGTGTGCCTGCTTGCCGTAACTTCGTGTGGTGTTGTTCCTCCTTTACCAATCCACGCAAGTGGACAGGTGTTATGTTTTACGGTGATGGCAGCGTGTACGACGGGTTATGGTGCCGCAACGCACGGTACACGCCAGCGACAATCAACCAACTAAACTCAGCTACACTTACACCCGTTCGTGATGTCTTGTGCAGGTACGGCAAGGGGACCTACAAACGGCCTGGTCGATGGACCTACTGCGGCGACTGGAAGGACGGCAAGAGGTTCGCTTCATCTCCTCCACGCCCTTTCAGAAACAGTCACGGATATCAAATAAGGCGCAACTGACAAATATTCAACAAGCTGGGATAGTATAGTGGTAGTACATTGGTTTGTGGTACCAACAACCCGGGTTCAATTCCCGGTCCTGGCAACGTTTTTTATTCACGGCAATTTCTGGCGGTGGTGTCCAGGTGTGGTTGGGGTACGCTGCAGTTTGCGCCGCTGGATGACGCCTGGCGTACCTGTTCCTCTGCCAGCGGCCTTTCCACGACACCAGGCCAACGTCCCAGAGACTCTCTAGCTGGACCAGCTTGGGGAGGCCAGGAGCCACCTGCTCCGGCGGCATCACCAACGTAGCTAAGGGCAGGCAACAGGCCGGAAGGCGAAGGAACGGCGACGTTCGCGAATGGCGGGGTCTACCACGGCAAGTGCAGGAACAAGTGGCGCGAGAGGGGAGCCTACCGCGGTGAGCACTACGAGCTGATAACCTTTGTGGGCCTCCTCAAGAGAAGGATCCCTGTTGACGGCAGCCACGCATGAAACGTAACTTTGCCGGAGAAGTGTAGGTGTCTCCGGCGTTGGGCACGAAGAAAGCAGCAGGTGACAAGATGGGGGTTGGATTGCGTTTATGGTACAGATCGGTACGAACATTTGTAGATGAATCGTACAAGGCTGTGTTGGATGAATAAATACAAGAGACAGCGATGCCTCGGTGGGTGTGAAGTCGCTCAGGTAGTGAGGAAGTGGAAAAATCTGTCGGCTTAGAAGAGGGAGCACTGGTTGGAAGAGAACTTGAGCTTGCCCTTCATGCCCTTGCCCTTGCCGCCCTTGTTTCCCTTACCCTTGCCCTTGCCGCTGTCGGAATCGCCGCCGATGGACTTGCGGATCTCGCGGACGAGCTCGAAGAAGGACTCCTCGACGTTGATGCGCGACTTGGCCGACGACTCGAGGAACTTGCAGCCGAACGACTTGGCGAGATCGGCACCCTCGGAGGTGGCGACCACTCGCGAGTCCTCGAGATCGCACTTGTTACCGACAAGAACCATCGGCACGTTGTCCTCCTCCTTTACCCTGAGGATTTGCTCGCGGAAGGAAGAGATTTCCTCAAACGACGATCGACTCGTGATAGAGTAGACGCAGAGGAAGCCCTGGCCGGTACGCATGTACTGATCCCTCATAGCGCTAAAGATGGAAAACGGAACGGTAAGTCGGCTGCAGTGAAAAAGCTGTTGGGGGCGCGAGAACACAACAAGAGAAGTGGCAGCACACCTGAATTCCTCCTGGCCGGCGGTATCGAGAATGTCGAGGAGACAGGTCTCCTGGTCGATTTCGACCTGCTTGCGGTAGGAATCTTCGATGGTAGGATCGTACTCGTCCATGAAGTGATGGTTGATCAGCTGGATGGTGAGCGCCGACTTACCCACACCACCGCCTCCGACAACGACAAGCTTGTACTCAGTCATCTTTTTGAAATGTGTGTTGTTGGTTGTTCGGCTTCAAGTTGAGAATGGCGCTGTCGGTTGGCCTATTTATTGGGCGGACAAGACGGAGAGGGAACCAGACAAAAAGCCAGCATATGGAATTTCAACGGTCACCACATTCTCGTTTGATTGGATGGTAAAAATAGAACCTTCGTTCATTGGACGGAACTATCGAATTAATTTAGCTGGCCATTGGTTCCAAAAATAGAACTCTCCGGCATTGGGCGAAGAATGTTGCGCAAACACGTGTGTGCATGGTTTGCGCGTCAGGCCTCAGCAAGGCCAACAGCACACCCTCACGGACGGGCACGCACAGGTGCCAGTGAGTGGAGAGGCTGCTGGCCAGCAGAACGGAGACCCATGATCGTCCAGCACTCTCGCGAGAGTGTGTTGTTGTGTGCAAACGCGAGAGTGGAGTGTAAGTTCGAACAAGAATGACTTTACTCTCAGCTCTCTCCCCTTTTGTGTACAAGACTCTCTTTCTCTCCATCCACGACGTGTGCGGCACAGCAGTGGTCTGCAACTTAGTTGCCGTAGAGGTCCTCGTCGTTCTCGGGCGTGGAGAACTGGCTCTGCTCGGGGAACTTGAAGTTGTTGCCAATGCCACGCGACTGGACGAGGGTCTGGGCGAACATCTCGTACTTCCTGATGTCGTTGTCGCTGACGGAGCGGCGGGCGAACTTCATGGCCTCCTCGAAGTGGGCTCGCGTGATCTCGGGGACGGGGTCCTCCTCCTCCTCGACCTCGGTCTCCATGCTCTCGGCGTTCTCCTCCTTCTCCCTCCTGCGCTGGTAGACGATGTCGATGGACTCGCGGATGGCCAGCTTGACGGCCCGCTGGCAGATCTCGGTCAGATCGGCACCGGAGAAGCCGTGCGTGTGCTGGGCGAGGAAGTCGAGGTTGACGTCCTTGGCGACGGGCGACTTCCTGAGAGCGGCCTTGAGGATGGCCATGCGAGAGCCGAGGTCGGGCAGCGGGATGTAGATCAGCTGGTCGAGACGACCCGGACGCAGGATGGCGGGATCGATGATGTCGGGCCTGTTGGTGGCGCCGATGACGAAGACGTTCTTCTTCTTGCCGATACCATCCATCTCGGTGAGGATCTGGTTGATGACGCGGTCGCCGGCACCACCGGCGTCGCCGGAGGAACCACCGCGAGCCTTGGCGATGGAGTCCAGCTCGTCGAAGAAGAGCACGCAGGGCGCGGCCTGGCGGGCCTTGTCGAAGACGTCGCGCACGTTCGACTCGGACTCACCGAACCACATGGTGAGCAGCTCGGGACCCTTGATCGAGATGAAGTTGGCCTGACACTCGTTGGCGATGGCCTTGGCCAGCAGCGTCTTACCGCATCCGGGCGGGCCGAAGAGAGGACGCCCTTGGAAGGCTCCATGCCGAACTTGTGGTACATCTCGGGGTGCTCGACGGGGTACTGCACCAGCTCCTTGAGCTCGCGCTTGACGTTCTCGAGGCCACCGATGTCCTCCCACGTGGTGTTGGGCGTCTCGACGACGGTCTCGCGCAGGGCCGAGGGGTTGCACACGCCGAGGGCCGACCTGAAGTGGTCCATCGTGACGCTGAGCGAGTCGAGCACCTCGGCCGGGATGGTCTCGTCCTCGAGATCGATGAGGTACATCTTCTCGCGGATGCACGTGAGGGCCGCCTCCGTGCAGAGCTGGGCAAGATCGGCTCCGACGAAGCCGTGGGTCTCGTTGGCGACCTGCTCCAGGTCGACGTTGTCGTCGAGCTTCATGTTCTTGGTGTGGATGGCGAGCACCTCGAGTCGGCCAGTGGGGTCGGGGATACCGATGTCGATCTCCCTGTCGAAGCGGCCGAAGCGCCTGAGGGCCGGGTCGATACTGTTGGGTCGGTTGGTGGCGCCGATGACCATGATGTGAGCCCTCGACTTGAGGCCGTCCATGAGGGTGAGCAGCTGCGAGACGATCCTGCGCTCCACCTCGCCGTTGGTCTTCTCACGCTTGGGCGCGATGGCGTCGATCTCGTCGATGAAGATGATGGCGGGGGCGTTCTTCTCGGCCTCCTCGAAGGCCTTCCTGAGATTGCTCTCCGATTCGCCAGCGAGCTTCGACATGATCTCGGGACCGTTGATGACGAAGAAGAAGGCGCCAGTCTCGTTGGCAATGGCGCGAGCGATGAGGGTCTTACCGCTGCCGGGCGGACCGTACATGAGGATGCCCTTGGGGGGCTTGACGCCGATGCTCTTGAAGAGGGCCGGGTGACGCAGGGGCAGCTCCACCAGTTCTCTGATGAGCGCCAGCTGCTTCCTGCAGCCACCGATGTCGTCGTAGCCCACCTCGTCGAGCTTGTCCTCATCTTCGCGCTTGATCGGCTCGCCCTCGCAGTGGATGACGGTGTCGGGCGCGACGATGCAGTACTCGGCAGGGTCGGTCTCTACGACCTTGAACTCTACCGCCCTCATGCCACCCCTCGCGACGAAGGTGTCGCCCTTGCGCACCGGTCGGTAGGCCTCGAGGAAGTAGGGCTTGAGGAAGAGATCGAAGATGTTGCCCGAGAGGCCCTCGATGGTGTCCTCCAGCGGGAGCACGTGGATGCGCTTGCCATACTTGACGTCAGGGCAGGCGTGCACCGACACGATGTCGGACAGCCGCACGCGCAGGTTGTTTCGCACCACCTTGTTCATTCTGATCTTGCCCTCCTCGCACGTCTCGTCCGAGAGAACGATGCAGATTGTGTCCTTCCTACGCTTGCCCTTGAGCAGCACTGTGTCGCCCTTGAACAGCTGCAGCTCCTCGAGCTTCTTCGGATGAAGTGCCACAACCGAGTTGTCGTCGTTGGTCGCCTCGTCGACCATCAATCTGTTGGGCCTCTTCTTCATGTTGAGGATCTCCTCGCTCATGTCGCCATGGTCCTCCTTTTGCTTATCAGCCATTCTGATTGAAGATGATGAGAGTAGTAGAGAACTGCTGAGTGATTGATGAGTGGCCGGGTGCGGCTTTTGTGGCGATCGGAAGAAGAGCGTGAATGCAAGAAGTTTACGTGAACACGGCACTGCCACGCACGCCGAAGCTGGAAAAGTAGCCACGTCAGCCTCTCAGATTTTGCGTGTCACGCCACACATTTCCGAAACTCCAAAAAACTTTGGCAGAGCTAACGAATTCTTCGAATACTGGCGGAGCTTGCCATTGATTTCGATCGAACGGATTAGGCTGTGTTTTTTATGGGAGAAACGACCCGAGGGCCATGGAAAGTATGGGAAAGAATATCAACGAAACACCCAGTGTGTGCGTAGGTGTCTTGGGGCGGCTCCGGGGCTACTACTTGCCACACAGGCAAGTGGGGGCAGCGCGTGGGCGGAGGTGTTTGGTGCCTGGCCTTGGACGGGTGGACGTGCCTGGGCGGGGTGACGGTGGGGAACACCGTCAACGACGGGGATCCTGAGGGCAAGTGAGACGGCGACGCCGATCTGATGGGCAACGCCGAGCGCAAGGTCGGAGGTGATGGCGACATGGAGGGTGAGGCGAGGGGCGTAGGCGAGGGCGTCCATGAAGGTGATGAAGAAGCAGTCGACGAGGTAGAGGAGGTTTCAGATGATGACCAAGAGGCCAACGGCAACAACGAAGCCAACTGAGTGGTCGTGATTGACAGCAACAACAAGGGCGAGGATGACCAAGAGGAAGAAGACAAGACCAATGGGGTAGTCATGCTCAAGGGTGAACTGGATGGTGAGCTGGTGGGAGATGGAGTAGTGGAGGGGGACGTTGTCGGCGTGGGCGTGTTCGAAGGTGACAGTGTTGAGGATGGTGTGGGCGTGTTGGTCGGTGACTGTGTTGGTGAGGGTGTGGGTGACTGCGTTGGTGAGGGCGAGGGCGTGTTTGTCGGCGACTGAGTCGGTGAGGGCGAGGGCGTGTTTGACGGCAACTGGGTCAGCAAGGATGAGGTCAACTGAGTAGGTGAGGGGGTGTTTGATGGTGACTGGGTTGGAGAGGGCGATGGCGACTGCGTGACCTACTGCGAGGGCGATGGCGAGTTTGTCAGCGACTGGGTCGGCGGTGGTGTCGGCGACTGCGAGGGCGATGGCGACTGCGTGGGCGAGGGTGAGGGGTGTTTGAAGGCGACTGGGTCGGCGAGGGCGAGGGCGACTGCGATGGTGAAGGGAGGGTGTGGCCAGGGCCACCAAGACTAGCTCCGACTCGCTGAAGCACTCGCCGCCCACCACTGTGTTGGTAAGCAGGTAGGGATCGCCCCCAGTGGCGCTGAGGTCGCCTGTGAGCTCACCAATGGTGACGTTGGTGACTGAGTTGCACTGGGCGTCGCCTGCGCTGGGACCAGCCAGAACGAAGGGCAGCCCCGCAAACTGTGACGAGTTGGCTGGGCAGCTTGATGTGAGGCAGGTGACGTTGAATGAGTGGTTGATCGTGTTGACCAGGTAGTCGCTGCTATTGCGCAGCACAGGTGCTGTGAAGGCTCATGGTCAGACCACATGCACAACACAGACACGACTCGACTCACGCACATGACACAGGGAGTGGGGGGGGACGTACTGATTGCAGTTCAGTTGGCAGAGTTGCCGGAGGGGACGGTGAAGGCGTTGTTGATTAAGGTGATGGCGCCGTTCACGGCAAGGGCGCGTCCGTCGAGAGAGGCGCCGTCGTTGGCCGAGACCGAGGTGTAAGCCAGCAATGACCCGACGAACCAGGTGTCGTGGTCCAGAGTGGCCGAGCTGCCCACCTGCCAGAAGAAGTTGCTGCTGCGGGCCCCGCGGGTGAGGGTGACCGAAGCCAGGGGGTCGGTGATGAGCGACGACCCCACCTGGAAGAGCCAGGCGTCGCTGGGGCTCAGGGTACCCTCGAGGGTGAGCGCCACGTTGCTCATCACAGCCGAGCTGGCGAAGCGGTAGACTCCAGGGGCAAGCACGAGGCCGCCCAGGTTGGTGTCTGTGAGCTCGACGTTGCAGGGGAGGCCGGCCAGCAGATTGTAGGAGCCGAGGAGGTTGAGCTGGGCCAGCTGAGCGTAGGTGTCGCCGGCATGGAGGGCGCCCGTGAAGACGCCGGGCGGGTTGAACCCGGTCACCTGGTTGCCGGCGTAGACGCCGATGTCGCCGGTGACGACTGTCAGGCCGACGTTGGTGACGGTGGAGGCGGCGAGGGCGGCGTAGCTGGCGGCGCGGCCCAGGATGAAGGAGGCGCCGCTACCGCCCTCCTCATAGTTGGTGCTGGTGGGGTCCCGGGTCAAGCTGGCTCCTGTGTTGATTGACATTACATGCCGCGGCTTCGGTGAGAGACGAGCGACACGCAAGCATTATCATCCCCACCACCATGAAGAGGGTGAAGCCAAGGGTTACCTTCATCTCTTTCGTATTGTTTGGTGTTGTTGTGGTGTGTGAGTGTATGGCCGTGATGTGCGCTGGTGGTAGAGTGGTGAATGTGGCTGTCGAAAGCTCTCTGGGAAGCAAGCCTCTGTGGTGTTGCCTCTAGTTATTGTAGACATTTTGTGGTCCCAGCTTTTCACACAGAGAAGGATGAAGGTGGCGCGGTCCTTTCTCTTCACCTTAGCCGCGGTGCTGCTCTCCTTCTGCTTGGGCATAGGGTGCGCCCTCTATGTGCACCATAACTGTCCTCGAATCTTCTCCTTCCTTTCCGCTTCTGTTGGATTCATCGCACATCTACCATCACAGCAACAACTTCCTGGCCCCTCGCCAATGCCCGCTTCCCAATTCTTCGAGTTTGAATTCCTTTTCGACGATGACAGCGAAGCCAAAGGAAAGAACGGGGATCTTGACTTCGATTGGAATGCTGAAGATGGCCGCTTGAGTCATCGCCTTGAGTGCGACTACACGAACAAAGATCCCGTTCGCGAGAAGCTAAGTGCCCCAGCGATCAACACCAGCACCGAGGGTGGCCAGCGCGCTCATCTTCCGCTGCCCCAGCAGTACGACTTTGCACTCGTCGCGGATCTCGACAAGGGCAGCCGCGATCCAAAGAAGTTCGAGTGGCACTCCATCATGCAGGTACGAGCTTGCTTCTGCTTCTTACAACAACCCTCGCTGCGCAACTCGCTGCTGAACAACAACACATGTTCTTCCACAAGTGCAGAAAGCGACGCTGAGGCGAAACGAGCGAGGCAACTTTACCATCGAGTGGGGCGAGACCATCAAGTAAGTGACTGACGCCCATCCTTGCCTCTACACGCACGCTCGCTCGCACCACGCAGGCTCACGTTATTATCACGCACTCGCAGGCTCACCTCCACGGTGGCCAACAAGAACCGATCGATGGAGCTGAGCGAGCTCGTGCGCATGAGCCACAGCGGCTCTCTCCTGGGCATGTGCGACTCGACCGGCATCGTACGCCCTCCACACCTCGTCCCCTCGGGGCTCTCACGCTGCAGGCCCACTAACGGAGGGCTCCTTGGGCTTTGGTGTTGGGCTGCAGGTCTACGAGATATCACCAAAGAAAGGTGGCGGCGCCTTTCCTCGCCACGCCATCGCCGACGGCAATGGTACTACTACTACTACTGCAGCACTTAATTTACCGAGGGAGCCCTGTGAGCACGAGGACCAACGTTCACCTCTGGGTCTCTGTCGTGCGTCGCGTGTCGTTGTGTGCACAGGCCGGCATCCCAAGCCATTCAAAACGGAGTGGGCCACCGAGAAAGACGGCCTGCTCTACCTGGGTTCCATCGGCAAGGAGTGGGTCGTCAACGGGGTACCCCTCTCCCTCCTGCGCGCGTCACCCAACCACGCGCGCGCTCGCCGCAGGCATCTCTGATTTTTCTGATACATGGCACCCGCGCTCTTCTTGCCCACCGCTCAGGAAGCACTGCACCACAACTGTGTGTGGGTCAAGACACTCGATCGCTGCGGCAAGATCACCAGCCATGACTGGTACACACACACACACACACACTCATGTGCTGTTGCCAGGCCTCGTGAAGCGCATTGCTCATGCCCCCCTCCTCCATGACATCACAGGACCGCAAACTACAAAGCGTTGCGAGTAGCGACAAACACCACCTTCCCGGGCTATCTGTCACATGAAGCTGTCGCCTGGCATCCTGGTGCGGACCTCAGGCGGGCGACTCGCTCACGATCAATTCATCTAGTTTGGAGAGGGCAGCTAACTGTGTGTAACTGGGCTGGACTGGGGCGAGTGCAGAGGAGCGCAAGTGGCTGTTCCTCCCGCGCAAGGCCAGCGAGCACACGCCCTACGACGAACGCACGGACGAGTTCCTCGCCTCCAACCTCCTCCTCATCGCCGACGAAGATTTCTCGCACGTTGAAGTGCGTCGTCAACACACACCACCACCACTTCTTACCCCCACATGTGTACTGACCACCTGACCTGACGCCTTGCCTGATTCAGGTACGCCGAGTTGGGCCATTGGAATGCGATTACGGGTTCACCTCGATGAAGGTCATACCCCACACCAACGAGATCATCGCCCTCAAGGTGCGCGTTCACTTTTTTGAGCCCCCCTCTCAATCGTTGGTGTGTTCGTGTCGAGTACTGCGTTGCTCACCCGTCTACACGAAAGGTGCGGGAGGTGAACGAAGTGTCGGAGACGTGGATCACCATATTCGACCTGGAGGGCAACTTCCGCCTCGAGCCGCGATGGAAGCTGCTCGTGGATCGGCGCATCAAATACGAGGGCCTGGCCTTCCTCTGAGAGGAGCAATGCCGCCCGCTCCCCTCATGCTCTCTCTGTTCTCTTATCGCACTGGTACGAGTCATGGCCAATGCACCCATATTTATTCACCACGCTTGGTGCCAGCTCAGGGCTGGACGAGCGAGGCGATGAAGTTGGCGACCACCACGCGGGCGTGCTGGAGAGAAACAGGGTCCTGGCTCGTCGGCTGAGTCATCGGCGCGCAGTGACCTGCATTTGGGGGAGAGGGGCACACGCACGGGTCAGACACATGAATGTTGGTTCGTGGTGGCGGTGGCGGTGGCGCACCTGCGGCGTAGGTGACGGCACGCACGCCAGCGGGGGCGGGGAGGTCCTTGGTGATCGACAGGGTGTGCCAGGGGTCGGCATCGCCGTTGGTGAAGAGGATGTTGCTACCGCGCAGGTCGTAGCCTCTGTGCTCACCAGCACCGCCACATGCGACGAGTGGGAAGTCAGAAAACAACACACGACACACTCGACACGCACGCACGCACGCACACAGCCCGTGCAATGCAAGGTGAAATGCGTGCGACTTACCCGTAGTACGCGTTGGTGCCTTCGGTGTTGGGGGTCATGCCGCTCACGCCAAAGACGTTCTCTGTTGGGGCAGACCACCCGAAGGCGAAGAGGTGAGCTGGGGTACATGAACGAAAGGCGAGGGTGAGCGGCGAGTGGACCGTACGGCACCACTTGACCTGGTGCTCCAGGTCCATGAGGGGGAAGACGCTGGTGCCCGGGTAGGTGGGCATGAAGAAACCGAACTCGGTGCACTGCTGGAAGAGCCACGACCTGTCCGAGCTGGTGGGCTGGCGGAGGGGCTTGAGGTACGAGGTCTCCTCGTTGAAGTCATTGCACTGCGTACGCGCATCAATTAGGGGTGAGAAGGGGGGGGGGCACACGAGGGGCTGGCTGGAGCGGGAGGGAGCATGTACCGCGTTGGGCGCCTTGGGGCCGTTCGCCTGGTTGACAACCTGAGCCCAGTTGGCCAGCAGATCACCGGACTGCATCATCGTGTTGCAGGTCTGGTGCCGAGCCCACACAAAGAAGAAGGAGAGAAACGCCGTGTCAGGCACGCCGATGGTGGTCGAAAGGTACACCACACACTACACACAACACACACCGTGTTGAGGGGCCATGCGGGAGGGTTCTGGAACTGGTCGGAGCCGCCGATGGCTTCGGTGAGGGTGAGCAGGAAGTAGTAGTGCTCTTGCGGGCTCGCTGAGATCTCCTGGCAGGCATCGAACGTTTTCTAAACAATATACTTTTGTGGTTAGCACGCGTCGTGCGGCGTGTGCGTGTCCGTGCCACTCGCAGGTGCCGTACGGTGAGTTCCTTTCGGCCGTCGGCGGTGGAGAGCTTGGCCATGAGCATGGCGGTCGCGCGCTTGACGGTCTCCACGCACTGCGGAGCTTAAAAAAGACAACAAACGGTACCATGTCAGTCGAGGGGGGGGGACACGGAAAAGGACGAAGAAGAATGAAAAGAACGAAGAAGTACAGGCAGCGGTGGAGAAGACGCCGTAGTACTGGGTGAAGTTGAGCGAGGCGTAAACGGGGCCGCTCGGCGCCACACTGCCCACCACCAGATTGGGGTACTTGGCCCTGCGCATAGGAAACACCACCACACGTGTTGATTCAATTGATTCAATTGGACACTCGTGAGTGTGTTGAACGGTGCAACGCACCTGAACCAAGCCGAGAGGGCACCCGAGTACGAGCAGCCCCACACGACCCACGGACCGGGCTGCAAGCGCGAGTGCATCCCCACCACCAACGTATGCGAACGTGAGTGTGGGCAGAGATAAAAGGAGTGCCAGGGAATGTGCATACGTTGGTCAGGGTCTTGTTGAACGAAACGAGGAAGTTGGCCGCATCAGCCAGCCTGCGTGGTGTCAAGTGTTGATGCGTTGTGTGTCGTGTGCAGCGCAGCACGTTTCAGTATACAACTCAACGCGTTCCTTGTTGTGAGTGCGTGGCATTGGTGAGGGCGTAAACGTACGCCTGCCTGGAGGAGAGCAGGGCGAGGCTGGCGGTCGAGTAGTCATGAGCCGGCATGCTCACGCCATAGAACCGGTGCTCCAACGCAATGTAGAGGGCACCTAGAGCAGTGGCCACCCACACCCACGTTCAGCCCACTGACCACCACTGACCACGACCCGCGTTTTGCCAGCAGAGGGACGGGTGTGCGTACCGAACTGCTTCGTGAGGGAGCGCGGCAGGACTGTCTGGAAGTCGAAGAACTCAACCGGGGCCTCACCGCCCAGGAACACTGCGTGCAGCACGTGACGTGTGCGGTGTGCGTGAGCACTCACGCGATGGAGCGGGATTATTAGTCGACACAGTCTGCGAGGTTGGACGTGTACAGAAGATGGGACCGCCGGGCACGTAATTGTCGTCGGTGACGATGTACTTCTGCTGGTAGGTCTTGCCGTTCAGCGGGTCGAAGTGGTCCACTTTCTGCAGCACGATGAAGAGAATTATTTCATTAATTCAGAAGAGATTATTTCGTTGTACAAAATGAAGAAGAGAGGGAGGAGCACCTGGGTGAACTGGTAGACCTTCTGGGAGAGGCCCTTGAGCTCCGTCGGTGCGGAGCCGGCGTGGCGATGGACCGTGGTGGTGCGGTGCACGATCGGGCGCCGCTGCTGGTACCCCATATCCCCAGCCGGCGAAAAGGCGGCCTCGGCCACCAGCAGTATCATGCAAGCAGCCACAAGCACAGTGACCTGCCACCTCATCTCCATCTTCATCTTCACAAGCGATCCGTCGGGCGAGGGCGAAAGTTTGGGTTGTCTTCGCTTTCGTTGTTTTTTCAGGCACCACAAGAAAAAGCGAAGGAAAATGAGTCGGCGAGACAGGCCAGCTGTACAGGCCTGAGAGCGCAAATTGAGGCTTAGCGATCGAAGCGCTCGAGCTCCTGCTCGACGAGGTGTCTGATCTTTCGCTTCCGCCGGGGAGTGAGACAGAGCGACTTCTTGGCCAGCCCGTTGTTGCGCTCCTCGACGATGTACTGCTCGCTCACCTTTGCACGTGAAGGGAAAGGGGAAAGGCGATGGTGAGAAGCGCGATCGTGATGAATGCGCGCAGCAAGCAGCAATTAGTGTACCTTCTTGGCGATATCTCGAAAATCGTCAGAGGAGAGGACGTTCTTCTTGAAAAATGGCATCAGCTCAGCGCGCACTGCAGATAGAGCTTGAAACTGGTGTTGGGTGAGGAGAGAAGGAACCGGGAGGGATGGAGACGAAGACGGAGATGAAGAGAGAGAAGAGATCGCAGTAGATGTCGAGGTGGCCGATGATGTGGAGTGGAGAGAAGACGTCGACGTAGCGGTAGTAGTGCCATAGACTCGAAACGAAGTGGATCGAGATGACGGCGTGTGTGGAATGGCGAACGAAGAAGGCGAAGAGGAAAACGGAGGAGACGGCGACGGCTGCGACACAAGACCGTAGGCCTGCTGCGAGCTGGATGCCTGCGTGGAGGACTGTGATGGCGACGGCGATGATACGAGAGAGAAGAACAGCGAATGGACCTGATTGGGTCGGTTCTCCTTGTCATCGCTTCGCGCGCTCTTCCTTCGCTGCGGTCCGCGTTGGCTCGCGCTCGACGCGGCGCTCTTCTTGGTCCGTCGTACGGCAGCCGTGGGCGTGGATTGGGACGACGGTGCCAGCCCGAGCGAACGCGTGAGCGGGAAGCACGACGAGAGGCTCGCGGTCGTGGGGTCTGACGATGCCACGGGTGAAAGCTGGATGGGCGAGCGCGCAGGCGTGCACTGGGAATCGCCGGCGTTGGCAGACTCCTGTTGTTGAGGCGAAGCAAAGTAGTCCGTGATGGTTGCGTTGGCCGCCGAACGCTCGGCGCGGGCCTTTTCAGTGGCGTTCACCACCCACAGCTGCGTGGGCGTATATTGCTCGCTGCTGCCACTGCTGAGGCTGCCGCCCGACGAAGATGGAGAGGGCTGGTGCTCGTTGTTGCTCTCGCTTTCCTCTTCATCATCACCATCGCCGATGAGTACGACCTCATTGTTGCTGTTGCTGTTGCTTGTCTCTTGTGTGAATCGTTGCTGTAGTATGCGACGATTCTGTTGGCGCGCTTCGAGGACTTCCGCGATCGTGCTCTGGCGCGTCATGCGAGGTCGCTTACGCTCTCTCCCCTCGCCGCCTCGGTGGAGCACGGCTGCAGCCTCCGCCTCCTCCTGTGACATCCGCTTGGTTTCCGCTTCTCGCTTCTTCCTCGCTCTTGTGTTGCGCAGCCGTCGGCCGTCCTGAGAGAAGACCGCCATCCCCGTGTCGTCGTGGTCGGCCACCGGGAGACCACCCTGCCGACGGTCCCATCGCTCCTGCTCGCTCTGAAGCCAGTGCAGCTCATCACCATCGTCCGCACCCTCCGCCTGCTCTCGTTCAATCTCGGCGTCGGACCGGTCGTCAATGAACGAATTGTTAGCCGCTTCTTCATCGTCGCCATAGGCCGCCTGTAGCTCCTACTCGTGCAGTGCGGACACCACAGACGCAATGAGCAAATAGAACGCGCTGCGGGCAACTCATTGATTACGTACGTGCACATCGTATTCGTGTTGCTGCTCCCTCTCCTGCACCCTCACCACTCGCTGTACGCTGCCCTGCACCATTGAAAATCTTGATTAAGTTAATTGACAATAAATCGTGACATGATGGAAGGGTGGCAGTACCTGGGATTGGGTGACGCGAGTGAACTTTTGTTTGCAGAGGGGGCACGAGTTGGCGACATTGCTCCACTCCAGAATGCAGGAGTAGCAAAAGATGTGGGAGCAACCATTCAGCTCTCCTGTGCCCTGCGGTCCTTGGTTGCCCGCCTTGTCCAGGCATATGGCGCACACAGAGGCCTCCTCCACCTCCCCCTCCATCAATCAAACTCAACCAGTGCTCGGGGTGATTGCGGCACAAAGAGCTCACATCTCTCCCTTCTGCCTTCCCGCCCACCACAACGGCTTTGAGTTCCAGGAATATATTTTTCCATTTTACATAAAATAAAGAGAAGAGGCCCTTGTCTTTTCGAAGCTTTGGTGCGCGTTGGCACGTGTGTGTATGTACAAAGGTGGACGCAAGTTTAAGCGTGCTTGGTCTTCTTAATGACGGTGTCGTCCAGCAGCGGGGTCCAGTGCAGGCACTTGGGGTCGATGAGCGGACCCGTGTTCTTCTTCTGCGAAAGCTTCAGGTGCTCTGAGATTGGCCACGCGAACGAAACAGCACTGGTGAGAACTCCAGTGGCGCAGTGGGCCGAAAGGAGGAGTGGAAGTGTTAAGTGTACCTTCGATCACCTTCGGGGTCACGGAGATGATGTGCTGGCCCTTCCAGTACTTGATCAGACTGAGCGACTGCAGCGTGGAGATGATGTCCTCCGTCTTGATAGCCGTCATCTGACTCATATCCTTGATGGAGATGTTTCCTGCGCGACAAAGAGACGTGAGCGATTACACACGCGTCCCCACTTCGCCCCGCTTGGCGCCATGGCAAGTAAACCTACCTCTGTGCTTCCTCAAAATCTCGAGCAGAACTTGGGTCCAGTAGCTCCTGAAGCTCAACAGCCCCTGTTGCGGGCAGTTAGCATGGGCTATAACAACCACCGCTAGGAGACGACGTGATCGGCGCGTACCAAGTCGGAGAGAGGCTTCTCCGGACTGCCCACTTTTCCTTCCCTCTTGGTCAGCTCGTAGGCGAAGGCAATCAAAAGCTTGCCGTAGCCCTGGAAAGCACAAAGAAGGTGCCTTGGGTCAGTAATTGCACGCGCGCAGAGGCGCCAGCACAGAACAGGTGGTGATGGCCAACCTTTCGCTGGTAAGGCGGCATGGTAAGAATACAGGCAATGTTGTAGTCATCCGGAGAGTCTTTCTCCTTGGAGAAATATCCAACCTGCAACGCAAAGTGGTGAGAACGAGCGCCGGAGAGACTCGCAATGGACATTGCGAGAGCGGGAAAGTGGCGGAGGCGTTACCATGTGACAGCCCCTGTTGTCGCACTCGGTCATGATGTAGAAGAGGAAAGGCTCGACATCGTAGTAGAGAGTCTTGTGGTCGAGGAACAGTTTGGCCATCAGGCACATGTTCTGGCAGTAGATCTTGTTCTTCTTGCCGTCCACCTGGGCATGAATGAGCATACAGCACGGGTAAGCCAAGAGCGCTCCTGGCCGGCTGCATCACCTGGACGTAAGGGGACGCACCTCAAAGACGGACAGCGTGCCGTTTCTGTAGATCTCGTTGCCAGGCGGGTGCCGCAGGTCGCACTTGAGCTGCATGAGGTTAGGAAGTGAGCTATCCGAGGTCGGACCCAAACGACGCAGCGCTGAAAGAAGGAAGCCCACCTTGTGACGCTGCAAAGTCTTCCTCTTCTTCATGTACTTAAGGCAGAACTCGCACATGTAGAGCTTCTGGCAGTTCGCAAACTCCTCGGGATAGGGCGAGAAGTACCAGGTGTCGACCTCGAACTTGCCGATCTCAATGGTTTGGATGTTCTTCACCTTGGTGATCTCCTCATGCTCTTTCTCGAGCGCCGAGAGCTTCGTATCCTCCTGTGATTCGAAATTTGTGCACATGTGAGAATCGGGTCAGATCCTGGCGCGAGATGCATGGGCTCACGTTGACCTTATTGTGAGTGATTTCGTGAGCCTTGCGCTTGGTCTGCCTTGTCTTGATCCTTTCGTTTCGTTCGGCCTTCTCTTCTTTCTCCTTCTCCTTGTCCGTGCTGAGTTGATCCTCGGTGACCCACTCATCGAGCCGCCTGTTGAATTCGACGTAATGAACGTAGTAATCCCACGTCCCCTCCTTCGTGCCGGGCCTGCGCTCAAGGATTTCGCAGGTGTGCAGCTTGCCGTCCTGCTTCCATCGGCAAGGTATCTTCGTTCCTATCTCCAGCGGCTCCTTCTTGCCCGACCTTCCATTAGTGGCGGCATCTGCACTCATGTTTGCGAGCAATAGACTTGTAAAAATCACCACGCGAGCACACAAGATGGACGTTGGATGATGCAATCCGCGAGCCCCAGGGCACGTCAAAATAATTATGGGACAAAGTGCAGAAAAGTTTTGGCGCCAAGAGGAAAAAAAGGAGCAACACGCGTGACCGCCCCTCCTCAAAGGAAGAAACGCCTCCTGCTCGTCTCGTTCTCTTTCTGCACGACGAAAAAGAGAGCCGAAGAGAAGAGAGACGGAACGAAGTGACCGTTCAGTTCGAGCTTGATTGAAGATGGCGATTGAGAAAGGGCACGGACCTTGTACACCCATTCGTACTCTCCGTGTTCGCTATCGAATGTTCCGTGCTGGATGCTGCGCAGCTTGAGCGTGAACCTGGGTCCGATCTCTTGCAGCCGTGCCTTCTTTTCGTTCTCGTAGATGTATCTGCATCATGGAAAGAGAGTCACGATGTTAGAGCCGCTAATCGCATGCGAGAAGAAGAAGATGGAAGATGCACGTACCTGTGATGCCTGAAGAAGATGAAGTCGCGCTGATTGTGGAAGGTGACGACTCGTCGGCCCTTGAAGTCTGGCTTCAGAGGGAAGATGGACGCAAACATACGACCCACAGTGTGACCCAGCCCTGAACACGCGAGGTAGTATTAGAATCAAGTAGCAGCAATGAAAAGAGATGGGGAAGGAAGGTGATGGTACGAGTGTTGAAGTTGTTCAAAATGAGCTCCGGAAGATGCTCCGAGGGTGTGGCGTGGTTCCTGATCTTCTTCATCAGCTTCACGGAAGTGATCTTGAAGTGGAACGTCGGTCCTTCGGGCAAGTTGATCAGCAGCGCGCCGTCTAGCCAGGGTTAAGGAAACAAATGCAAAAGAGAGAGGGAGTGGCTGCAAGTGACGAAAAGAGGAGAGTGTAGGGAAGGGGAGGAAGAGTTGAAAAGGATACTAACTCCTCGGAGTCCGCCGCCTCTGTCCTCGTTGATGACGATGAGGGCTGTGTATTCTCGCTCCTTGGCCCAGGTCACGATCTTCTTGAGCTCGAAGGTGCCGCGCTTGCGGAACGATGAGTTGGGGATCACCTTGAGCAAGTCCTCGATGAAGGTGAACGAGGTCTACGCAGAATAGCAAAATCAGAACATCACCACAGCTGTACCACCAGTTCTTTTCCTGACCCTAAGCAAGGACTATACCTTTGTGGGCTTCTGTGAAGTGGTGAAAAGGATCTTGGGCGTCTTTTCGCCCCTGAAGAACGCAGAGAACTCGTCAACGGCTTCGTCCTCGATGACTTCCTGCAGTGCCCGACCGACAAACAGTGAGCAGCAAGAGCGTAAGAGGAGCGTCAAGCACCAGACAGGGTGGGACTATACCGCATCGTCGGGCTTGACGATGGTCTCATCGAACTCTCTGGTGTTTTCGATCGTGCGCGGTTCGAGTTTGGGCGGTGCCTGAGGTGGAGATGAGGCAAATTAAAATCGCTACAGAGAAACCACAGATGTATGGTGATGATTTTACCTTGTCTCCCAGCTTCGCCCTCTCCTTTTGCCTCTTGTTTCGTTCTTGAGATTTCAATCTCTTCTTTTCGGCCTTGATCTTTTGGTAAACTTCGCTTCGCTTCATCTTGTTGGGGATCGCCGATGGCATGACCTTGAATCCCTCCGGCAGATTTCCGTACACATACCTGGGGCGCTCCGGCGGAGCGTCCTTGTCAGCAGCCTTGCCTCCATTGTCATCCTTCTTTGCTCTCTTCTCGGCCTTACGGGGCGATGCACCCGTGCTCTTCTTGCCTCCGGCCTTCTTCTTGCCTTCTGCAACCGAATCATCGGCCTTCCTCTTATTGACGATTTTCTTCTCGGGCTTCTCCATTTGCTGTGCCTCTCTTGTTGTTATCTATCAACTACCGAGCCTGCACCCTCGATTGCCTTCTCCGATCTTTCCCGATCCGAGATTTTGAAGCTGCAGCCAGAAGAAATTCATTGTGCACGAAGGAAAATAAGCAATTATTCAGCATCGCGGTGGAGAGTCGGAAGAAAATCAACGGAGGGTCAAATGACAAAAATCCCGCATTGGTTGATTATCCGAAACCACTGCGACGGCTCAATGAAGATTCCCGCTGGAGTCTGCCAGTTCTCCCCACTACAAGTCGCAGCGACGGCCAAAACATCCACTCCACTCAGCAAGACACTAGCCACTCGCCCCCATGAGTAGAAACATGAGCAAAAACACATTACGCCAAGCCACCCGAGCAACCCTGCCAGGACTGACCACCAGCAGAGCTCTCGTCCCTGCAGCCTCTCACCAAACCCCGACGCTGTCCTCCACATCGGGGGCTCGACGAGGCCATGCCAACCTGAAGCCGGGCTGCTCGACGTGCCTCTATCGGCACGAGTGCTTCCCTGCCCACTTTGCGCTCCCACCTATGCACTCCGCGCCCGCCGAAGCCGAGCTCGTCAGGGGTCTCTGGGCAAACCCCCGCGTCCGCCGCCTCCTCCCCGCCGCCCTCCTCGCCCTGTCCGCCGCGGGCACCGGCCTCTTCGTGTGGAGCGAACACGAGCGACTGGCCGCCCTGGCCCAGCGCTACTCGTCGTTGCTCTCCCAATTGGACACTGCGACCACCACGACCTCAACCACGACGACTGAGCACGACCGCCAGCGGGTGTGGGACCATCTCTCCACCCGACCCGAGATCCTCAACACGTTCCTGTTCTGTTCGTGCGGCTGCGGCGAGAAGGTGGACTTCCACCAGGGCCAGTTCGAGATGAAGTCCGGGCGCGTCTTCAACTGCGCCCACTTCCGCTGCGACGGCTGCGGCAAGCAGCTCCAGGGCACCACCGCTACCAGCACCACCACTACTCAGGCCGATCACCACGGCCACGAAGAAGACGGCTGGGTGTTCAACAAGGAGGGCAAGCTCTACTGCGTGTACGACTTCATGGATCGGTTCTGCCACACGTGCGCCGGCTGCGGGCACGAGCTGGGCGACCAGCTTGCGGTGGACCCGCGCCTGGGTGCCGCCTTCTGCGTCGACTGCTTCCGGCAACACTCGTCGGCCGACGTTGGCCAGGGCGTCGAGCACCACTTCAAGGTGCTCGAGCCGGTCGAGTCACAATCGCAGGGCGACAGGCTAATGAAGGAGGTCAAGCAATGGCTCAGCCAGGGTGCCTCTCCTCCTTCTTCTCTCTGTCACGTTTAGATCGTGAGCTGACGCTTCTTCTCTTCTGTGTTCAGAGATGGGACTCGAGTTCGCGGGCGCAGACGGCGACATTCCGCTCTCGCTGTACCGGCCGGAGAAGATCGATCAACTCAAGGGCATGGGCAAGCAGCACATGAAGGCCGGGCACGACGAAAAGATGGGCAGCACGCTCGGACTCACAGTCAAAGAAGCCTCGCGGCCCTCCCTCTTCGCCAAGAAGGTATGTCACCACCGTCATCATCCTCCCCTGGCCCAAAACGATTGCGACGATACTGACCTTCGCTTTTTGATGCTTCCGCAGACCTACACACCCAAGGAAGTCATCCTGGTGAAGGGGCTAAGCGAAGATCACGCCGGAGCAGTTCTCGCCCACGAAATGATGCACTGCTGGATCGGTAAGTCCAATCTGCCTACACTTTTCCTTCAGTTGAGGCACACCTTTCTGATGGAGTTCTTCTTCTTCTCGTCCTGTGTACAGCCTTGTACCTCTCGCAGACTTCGGAGCTTCCAGAGGAAGTGGAAGAGGGCCTGTGTGAGCTGATGAGCTACTTCTGGCTCGTGCAGAAGCGAAACCAAACCACTACTACACAAGCGGCGGAGAAGCGGGAGGAGGTGGAGTACCTCCTCGGGCGTATGGAGCGGAACTGGGACAACGCCCAGGGCCGAGGCTTCCACCGCGCGCTGACTTCGCTCCAAGCTCAAGAGGACGGCAACCTGCAGCTTCTTTTGGCCCACGCCCGACAGCACTCGGCCTTCCCCGCCCCACTCCCCGCACTCTGAATCTCCCTCACTTTCTCTCTCTTCTATCTCTCTTACACCATCTATCACTGTTCAGTGCCTGTAGTCAAGCGCTGGCGTGTATATAGCAAATACCAAAGTAATGTAGCTAGACATCGACCCAAGATGTTCGGGTTCAATGGTAGCAACGGTTCTCGGTGGTGTTGTGGTTTCGATTGCTGCGAGGCATTCGTGGGGCACACCCAGCGCGTTGTCGGCTCGCCTGGCAGTACACCATGTTGGTCGAGGCTAGTGCCTGCGAAGTGATCAGCGGAAAGAGGAGCGAATGTGGAATACGACGAATGTGCGGGCACAACCTGAAGATGGAGGAAAAGAGGCGCTAGGCCCTGATCCGACGACTAACCACAGAGAGCGAACACTAGCGTCGCCGTCATGCTGAATCTCATACACCCTTCCACGCGGAGCAGAGGGCTGGGGGATTGCTTGCGCTGATGCCTACCAGCCCCGAGCGCCACCACACAAAGCTGAAACTCCGGATAAAACAAAGCACAGGAAATGGCTTTTCATTCAATTTTTCCCTTGGCCCTGGAAGAACCTTCTGAAACACATTTTTGGTACACCTTCCTTTTTCGATCCCCAGTTGTTGTTGATTGGCCGAGAGTGTGCCTGGCGGGGCCTTTTGAGCGAGTCCGTTAGAGCATTTCAGTCTTTACCCAACCGCAAGAACAAGAGCAACAAATAGTAGTCGAAGCACTAGTAGAAGAACGACCCCACTCCAGTTCTCCTCGAACAAGATGTATTTCCTCGCGCGAACTTTTTCTCGCCTCTTTGGGGCCTCAGCCGCTAGCGCCACCTCCGCTCGCTCGACTCCCATCACGACTCCGGCGACCCCCTCAACCCCCACCACGACCTCCGCGACTTTGCCCACCCTCGCCTCGAGCTGTTTCGAATTCTTCACCTTCGCTCACGACCAACACCAACACCAGAAGAAGACCACAACCGAAGAAGATGAAGATCTCGGTGTGTCGTTTGTTCTCCTTTCCAACCACTTCGAGAAGATCGCCTCTTTCGACAACGATGAGGTCCGCCAGCTGGGAGACTTCTCCAGCCTCGCCTACCTCGACCGCCAGGCCAACCTCGGTGATGGCTCCTACAACGTGACGGCCTTTGCCACCGAGACCTCGTCGGGCTACGTGAGGACCCAGGGCCGCGAGGTGGTCCTCACCTACAAGGGCACCGACACAGCCACCGACTTCATGAGCGACTTCAACGCCTGGCCCGTGTCCGACCAGGAGCTCCTGCCCGAGGGGTTCATCCATCGCGGGTTCCTGCTGGCCTTCCAGAGCTCGTGGCCGAAGGTCGAGGCCGCCCTCCACCGCCACGCCGCGAGCCAGGGCCTTGGCGTGGCCAAGCTCAACTTCACCGTGTGCGGCCACAGCCTCGGCGCGGCGCAGGCCACCCTGGCTGCGCTTCAGCTGGCCCACCTCGGGGCCTCAGTCGATCAGATTCGGCTCCTCACGTTCGGCTCCCCGCGCGTCTTCTCGTGGGCGGGCGCCGCCTACTTTGAGCGCCTCGGGCTGGGCGGGCGCACGCTTCGTGTGGCCGAGAACGGAGCCGACCCGGTGACGATGGTCAATCTGGGAAGCCTTGGATTCAAGCACGTTGGGTTGAATCTGCGCGTCGAGAAGCCCGCCGCAGCCTGGCCCCATCTGATGGAAGGCTACATGGCTGGCTTCTTGGCCCTCACGACTTCGACCTTCGTGCCGTCCTTCCCCCTGGGCTCCCGTCGCGCCCTTCTCCGCCTTCTCCGCCTCTAATAATTGTCAATTATCTCTTCACACTTCCACATAAAAGTGGAATCGTTTCTATCCTTCGACTTTCACGAATGGGACGCCATCGCGCGCGCGCGAAACGAAAGATGGTCATACATACAACTGATGGGAAGGAGCCACGTGGTGTGCGCGGCAGAACTCGGTTCAGAGCGTGGTGGAGCAGTAGGAGGCGAGGAAAGGCGAGCGGTATCCGTCGTGGCGGTAGGTGATGGGGAAGAAGGTCTCCTCCATCTCCACCGAGCCCCATTTCTTGTATCGTCCGTAGATATACTGTGTGCGCGTGAAGGCATGTCTCTTCAGCGCGACAGCTCAACAGGGTTGGGAGAAGAAGAAAGGCGGGAGCGTACCCCAACGCCGGTAGGCTGAAAGGTGGCGTGGCTGGGGAGGAAGTGAATGGCCAGGCTCCGCCGTACTCTGGTCTTGTCCGTGTTGGGACCCGAGCCGTGCCAAGTCGGCCCACTCTGCATTCATTTACTCGGGTGGTGAGGTGGTGTGAGGGCGGGCTAGGGCCGTTGTTGAGGGAGCGTACGTGGAAGGCCGCGCCGCCAGCCGGGACCTCGACGGGCACCACTTCAGGTCGCGGCAATCCCAGATGCTTGGCCGTCTGTGATGTGAAGCCACATGTAGAGATCAGCAACATCAATCAATGTTGGAAAACACTACAGGGAAAGAGGCTTCAGGAGCGCCCTGTACGTGGTCAAGCGATGCGCGATAGTCTTGGGCGGTGAAGAATGCGTTCTGCAGCATCTTGCTCTCTTGTGGCCACTTGTGCGAACCTCTGCACTCGGCAAGACGTGAGCGCGTGTAGCTGTGGGGCCATGGGAAGAGGAATTGCGCGTGCGAAGAGAAGCAGCCGTACCTCACGTACTCAAGCGTTCCCGCCGTGCGCGAGGTGTCATCCAAGGCTATCCAACAGGTGATCAGCTCTCGGCGCTGGTGCATGTCGAAGTGTGAGTGCGAGCTCTCACGAGCGACCAGAAACACACACGAAACGAAAGCGTACAGGATTGAGGAAGTCAAAGTACGGAGCGTCCTAGAGGGCCGCACGCAAGTGAGCAGACAGGTCAGCATTCAACTTTGGTGAAGACGAGACAAGTAACTCCAGACGAGCTCAGGCCCCTACCTGGTGGAAGGAGACAGCCTTGGTGCCCGGCGGCTTCCACCATATATCGTCTTGGCCCACCCTGGTGCCCATCCATCCGGCTAGCTCCGCTGCCAACCGCCCCAGGCGCTCACTCAGCACCGCCGACGCAATCGTGTAGTCGCTCTTCCACTGTTGAACGTCCACAACAGCAAAAATGCAGCGCTTCATTATCCAGTGAGTCAGCGATCCTAGGTAGGGTGGCAGCGTACGCTGTTCACGATCTCGCGGGTGACGTCATCGCGGCCCATGCCTTCTCGCCAGTGCCACTCGTCAGGGTACACCCCAGTGTCGAACTCACCCCTTTCAATAAATTAATAAATAAATAATTAAATAGAAGAAACGTGGATGTGAGGGGGGCACCTGAAGAGAAGGGGGAAGCGGTTCTTAATGGCCTCGGCCAGGCTGGGGTCGATCAATCTATCCACTACCAGGAAGCCGTCGTCCTGAAACTGGGCCTTCTGCTCTGGGGTGAAAAAGGCGCTGCTTGGGCTCAGCGAAGTGGCCAACCTCCGTACGAAGCCCCCAGCGCGGCAGCTGCCAAGCCCCCTGCGGTGCCCCTGCAGGGACAGGGCCGCTGTCGTCCTTCTCATCTTCTGCGAGAGATGAAATTCCAGGGTAGCCCCGGGCAGGGATTGGGCACTCCCTGTGGCCTGGTGGGGTTTTGGTCGCAAACTCGGTCACACACAGACCAACTAGAGGGGTGGGGCAGCTTGGATAAAAGGCAGGGATCAGAGAGCTCAGCACTTGACCACCACTCGGACATCATGCAGCTCTCGTCGTTCTCCCTCCTCTTGCTGCTCTGCGCTCTTGCGTTGGCTTCAGGTATGCCCTCTCGCTCTTCTGGACGTGTGTGAACCGGCATCTCAGGCCTGCCTTTTGCAGCACAAACTACCAGCCCCGCCGCCAGCCGCGCCGCCAGCCCAGCCGCCAGCCCCAATACAGCCCTGATCACCACCTTGAAGACCGCTGCCTCCCAGGTGGACAGGGTGAATGCTCTTGGCGATGACTTCATCTTCGACTTCAGAGGAACACTGGGCGTGTCCGAGGGCCGGGGCGGCAAGACTGTGGCCGCCACCGCCCGGAACTTCCCCGCCCTCATCGGTAACGGCGTCGCCATGACCGTGGGCTACCTCGGGCCTTGCGGCATCAACCTGCCCCACACCCACCCCCGAGCCACCGAGTTCAACTTCGTTGCGAGTGTACGCTCTCCTCTAGCCGCTCGAGCGCAGGTTGGTTCGTGGATCTCATAAGGAATGTGGACGCACAGGGCGCGTTCGAGGCGGGCTTCTTCATGGAGAACGGGAATGAGTTCGTCATGACCAACGTGACGCAGGGCATGGCGGTGGTGTTCCCCCAGGGCGCCATCCACTTTGAGCAGAACATGAACTGCGAGCCGGCCGTCTTCGTCGCCGGCTTCAACAACGAGGACCCCGGCGTCTCCACCATCGCCTCCAACTTCTTCGGACTGCCCACTGCGGTGCGTTCTCACTCTCCACTCCTTCACATTGTTGCGCCTGCTCCTCACTTTGTGCCCTGTCAGATTGTGGGCGCGTCCCTGGGAGGACTCAACATCTCCTCGGTGGAGGACCTCAGGGCTATGCTGCCGGACAACCCAGCCTTGGGTACCGAGGAATGTCGACGTCGATGTGGTCTCTCGCTGGACTGATCTTCTCTCCCGATTGGTTATTGCTCGCTGCTGCCATGCGAACGTTTTTCCACCGAAATTTGCCCGGCCCTCTGCCTGCATTGTTCCCTGGAACTGCCATAGATAAAGACCCAGTTAAGACATGCCCGCGCTCACGCACACACACACACTCGCAAACAACAACATCAGCAGCAGCAATAACAACAATGGCGATGGAAGGCAAAGTGGCGGTGATCACCGGCGGAGGCAGCGGTATTGGAAAGTCGACGGCGGTGGTACTAGCGAAAGAGGGCGCCGTGGTGGCCATCTTCGACACGGAGGAACAGCGACTGCGCGAGGTGAAGCAGGAGATTGAAAACTCGATGGGCACCGAGTGCTTCACGTTTGCTGGGAGTGTGAGCAGCGAGGTCGACACCATCAAGTTCTACGAGCAGGTGCGAGAGAAGTTTGGTACGACACCCCCCCCCGCGTAGACGCCACCTTGCTAACCCTGGTGAAGGCCAAGTGGACTGTGTGCTGGCAAATGCGGGAACGAACGGCACTTGGGCACCGATAGAGGAACTCACATCTGCTGAATTCATGAGCACTATCAACGTCAACCTCCTGGGCTCATTCCTAACGATCAAGTGCGTCTCCATTGCACAGTTCGTTTCATTTGTGTTCTAACATTTAAATTCAATGTGCACCCTCGCCTCAAGGTATGCTGTACCTTTGATGAAGGAAAAGGGAGGATCGATAGTGCTCACCTCGTCCATCAATGGCACTCGCACCTTCCTCAACACCGGTGCCACGGCGTACTCAGCCAGCAAGGCCGGCCAGGTTGGCTTCTCCCCACCACTTCCAGTTGACATGCATACTAACACACCTGGTCAGGTCGCCATGGTGAAGATGCTGGCAGTGGAGCTAGCTCAGTTCAAGATCAGAGTGAATGCAGTGTGCCCAGGTTACATTGAAACAGCAATGTGTGCCAATAGAAGGAAGGCTGAAGGGATCCGACTGCCATCTGAATACCCTGAAGGTGAGTCCTCACCATTGGCCACCTGCCTGTTATGGCTTCACTGGCTAACACAAGACCGTGCAGGGACAATCCCATTGACTGGCAAAAAGGGAGCAAAAGCCCTGCAGGTGGCACACCTCAATCACTTCTTGCTGTCGGAGAAGGCAGACCACATTACCGGCACAGAGATGTACATCGACGGAGCCGAGTCCCTCTTTGGGCCATAAGGCAGCAATTATGAATGCAAGCGAAAAATTGATCCAAAAAGAAGCTCCCCGGGCAGGGTTCGAACCTGCGACCTCACGGTTAACAGCCGTGCGCTCTACCAACTAAGCTACCGAGGACTGCTGATGCGACGTTCACCCAACGATTTACAGATAGGCGCTGGAGGTTGCTAGGCGATGGTAGTGAAAACGAAAACCCGAAAAGAGAACTCCTCGTTCGGCAGCTGAAGAAGGCCACAACAAGCTCAAGTTTGAAGTGATTTCATTCAATTGAACCATGTTCAATAGGCGAGACAGGGCATCGAGAGACCTTTCGTCCTCATCTTCGAGCTTGTACGAAGCGTTCGGCAGCAAGGAAGGTAGACGAAGCACCCTTTGGGCAAGCGCCAGTAGTACACATTCTCACCTTACCTCATCCAATTCAGAGGACGAGGATCTTTCCTTGGTCAGGTCGTACCTGCAGCACGGCCAACGCGCCTCCATCTCGGTACTCCCGACGTGACCTCGTCCTCGTCGTCGTGCATCTCTCGGCCGAACAATATTTATTTCCTTTTTTTAATTTTAATTTAAAAATTATTATTTATTTTAGTCCGAAGGCGCCTGGGAGCGGGAGCACAAGGAGAACAATGACGAGCGGCAGCGGCGGCGCAGCGTGGCCCTCGAGCCGGGTTTCGCGCCCGCCTCCATCTTCTCCTCGAGCAACATCAGGCACGGTTCATCCCCACCGTACCACCCCGCTCACTCCCTCCCTCCCCCTTCTGTGTGCTTGCTCGCGAGCGCCTTGCTTGTGTGGTCTACTGCCCACAGCTCAAAGCTTGCCTCTCCTGACCGTCACCACCACCACCACCACCCCACCATCACCACCGCACCACCACCGCACGCTGTGCAGGAACTCGACCCGGCTGGAGGGGATGCGCGACGACGTGGGCGGCTCTTCGGGTCCCGCGCAGCCGCTGCGCGTGTCCCAGTTGATCGGCCACGTACGTGCCCTGCGGCGCCCGCCGGTATATAGCTGCTCACACCGACCGCACACGCACACGCACCACCGCACACACACACACCACACACACGACAACAGGACCAGGCGGGAGGTCCCGACCTGCGTGCCTCGGCGATCAACGAGCAGGTGCAGTCGTTCCAGCAGATCCTGGAGCAGGGACAACAGTCGCGCCTCACCCCGGCGCAGACCAACGTCATCAGCATCCACCTGGGTACCCACCGCACACATCGCGCTCCCCAGCGCTGCTCGGCCTTTCCCCCGCACTCACCACTCGTGTGTGCGTGTTGTGTGCGTGTTCGAACGACGCAGGCAACTTCGGTCAAATGATTTCCAAGCTCGAGCTGCTCATCGACCAGCACATCGACGAACCCGAGCGCTTGGGCACATTGCTGATGCTCCACGAGAGCATCACCGACGCCATCAAGGCCTACGAGGCCACCATCGTCGCGTAAGCATTACTCCCCCCCTACGAGCAATGCGCAGGTGGTAACCGGGGGGCGCTGCTCGCACGTGCAGTCAGTACTCCGATCCTGCGCAGGACGAATTCGCGGGTTTCAGTTTTGACTACCACGCGTGGGAGGAGGACCAGCAACGGCAGCAGCACGAGGACACCAAGGAGGAGTCCGAAGAGGAGGACGGTACGCAGCTTCGCCACCCCCCCAACCTCTTCTCTCTCGTCGTAGCTCACTTTCTCTCTCTCTCTCTCTCTTCTGGTGGGGCGCAGATCTGGACGAGGAGGACGATGAAGACCACGAGGGCAAGGAGGAGAAGGAGTGCCTCATTTGCATGGACGACTTCTGGTATTTTTTTTTTCTATACTACTGCCAGCCGGAGAACATCAACCTCGTCGCGCGCCTCGCCTTTGGCCTCGGTGTAGGTGTTGACGGCGAGGGCGCGTGTGTATGGTGTTCAGGTGGCCGGGCAAGCGTGGATACCAGCTGAAGTGTGGGTGTCTCTACTGCAAGGCCTGCCTCAGAGGCAACTACGACGTGTGCGAATCGCTTGCCCCTTCCCCCCTTAGGCCTTCATTTGTGCGTTCGCTGCGGCCAACCGTCTAACGAGGTTCCCATCCGACGAGCAGGCTGATCAACGACGGCAAAGTGCTCAAACTGACTTGCCCCAACCCCACCTGCGCTGCTGCTGTACGCCTCTCTCCTCCCAGCGGTTCGTACCTTGGCGGCTCACAGAGGCTGATGCGGTCCATCCGCCGGGCGCCGTGTGTGCGTGCTGTGGTGTGAACATAGGTGGAGGAGGACGATCTCAAGAACATCCTCACCAACAAGCAGTTCGTGAGGTACCAGCAGTTCTACCTGCTGGCCTCCCTCCGCAACGATCCCACCGTGCGCTGGTGCCCCAAGTACGGCCTTGCCGCTCCGCCTCACCAAGCCAGGCACTCCTGCTAACTCTTTCTTGTTCTGGTTTTCCTCAGGATTGGCTGTGAGACGGCAGCGCATGGCTCAGAAGAAGATTGCCACATGAAGTGTTCATCGTGCTGTACGCTCCCCCACCGGCTCAGCCAACTTTGCAGGCTAATTCAAGGTCTCCTGGTTCGTCCAGCGACCGAGTTCTGTTGGAAGTGCAACTTGGAGTGGCACGAGGGAATCACCTGCGAGCGAGCTAGACGCCAAGCGCAAAAGGGCAAGAAGAAGATGACCCGTGCGGAGAGGAAGGTTAGTTGCTACTGGCCCGCATCGCATTCAACGTAGTTTACTGCCCCCACTCACTCTCGGCTTGTTCAACAGGCCGAGCGGTATATCAAGAAGAAAGCTCGACCCTGCCCGAAGTGCAAAACGCCCATCCAGAAGAACGACGGGTGCAACCACATGACGTGCCAGGGCTGTCGCTGTACGTTCGCCCCCGCTCGCATGCGCCCTTACGTGTGTGATGGCTCATTTGAACATGCGTGTTAGATCAATTCTGCTGGATCTGTATGGGCGAGTTCCAGAGCTACGACCACTTCTCGACTGGCAAGTGCAAGGGCCTCCAGAACTGGTCCTCCCACTGGACCAAGTACGGCGCCTACGCCGGCATCGGCGTCGGAGTGGCCGCCGGCGTGGTCGTGGTCACGCCCATCGTTATCGGTGCGTCGACTCCCCTTCTCCATTCCCCTCTCACCGGGGCCTGCTTTTCACACCCACGCCCCTTCCTTCATCAGGCCTGGGCATCCCCGCGCTGGCCATCGGTCTCCCGATCTACGGCGCCTACAAGCTGGCCTCCTAATTATAAGCAGAGACTCGGCTGGGCCACAGTCAGCCTCATTGATGTGAAATGCTGTGGACGAAGGTTGGCTTGCCGCTGCCGCCAGGGCTGTGTTTGGGGTTTACCGAACGGGTTGCGTCGAAATGTACACTTACTTGACAACCGCGAGAGGAGGGGGTGGGAGGCTGAACGGGGCTGCTGAGGCAGCCGGTGCGGCGAAAGCGTTCAGTGTGGTGGCTCAGTCCGAGCCCGAGTGGAAGGCGAACACGTCGTCGAACAAGTCGGCTGCCTTCTTGGCCTTGGTCTTCTGCAGCGGGAGACGGCGCTTCCTGATCACCTGCGCGAAAGGAGAGTATGTCAGTCGCGAACACCACAAGGATACGCAAAAGCCCAAGGGCGCACCTTCTTCGCCTTCGGGCCTGTAATGGGTGTCTCCTGCTCGCCATCGATGGTCTTACTGGTGGCCTTACGCGCTTTCGCCGTCGGTGTCGGTGCCTGCACACTCACACGCTCAGTGCTGATGGTGATATCGCGCGAGCTTCATCGTGCTGCTGTACCTTCTTGGTCGTTCTGCGCACCGGGGTCAGGCGTCTACGCTTCTTCGTGTCGGGTGTGGACTCTTCCTCCTTCTCCTCTTCGGACTCGTTCGACGGATCGGGGCACGCCGGCAGGTCTCTGCCAACCTGGGTTATGTTCACCTTCGCTACAGGAGCTAGCAAATGTCCGTTATAACTTGCGAGTGCCTCTTTGTGTGTAGGGCAGTGCGCGAGTAGAGCAGAGCACCTTCGTCCTGCCCTTGCTGCTGTAGCGCGACGATTTTCGCTTCCAGAGCTCCTCTCGCCTCCTCCATTCTGGTGATCTTCATGGTGAGCTGGGTCCTCTCCTCTTCGGCGACAGCTGCCTGGCGTAGGAGCTCCTCGGCCATGGTGCACTTGGATCTCTCGAGAGTCAGCAGATGCTCTTGAATGGCTCTTTCCTATTGTGGGTAGCACAGTAAAGGACGAGTGAAATGCAATCCGTGACGAGGGCAAAAGGTCAAGGCACCTTCTCGTGTAGCGTCTCCTGCAGCTTCTGGAGTTGCTTTTTGAGCTCCCGCTCTTTCGCATCACGCTCGGCGCTGAGTTGTGCGAAGGCTTCGTCGGCCCTGTTTTGCTCCTGCGAGCGAGTGCGTCGGTTAACGTGGTTGGTCAATTGCCGATGGGAATCAGCGGGATGCGTACCATATTCAGACGGTCACCGATCTCCTCGAGCTTGCGCTCTTCTTGCCTCACAGCACTTGCCAGCACTTCGTTATTGCGACGAGCCTCGTCCAAGAGAGTGGCGAGCTTCCTGCCTTCGTCGGTCTTCGCTTGCAGTTCCTCCTCGACTCTTGCGCGTGCCTCGTGAGCGGACGCGACGGTCTTCTGGAGCGCATCGAGGTTGCTTGTGGCAGCGCCCAATCTTGACTAAAGAGCAAACTGAGTAAGCGGAAGAAAGAGAAGATCTTTCGAGCACGTAACGCGGTACCTCCAGGTCGCAGGCTCGCTTCTTAGTGGCTTCGTGATCGAGCAGCTCTCCGCGAAGCAGCTGGACCTCGTGAAGCATGTTCGCGCTTCCTGCCTGAAGCGAGCCGAGGTCGCTCTCTACGAGAGCCGTTGCAGCTTGCTGGTGCTCCAGCCGTGCCCGCATCTCAGCAGCAACCTCTTCTGCCTTAAGGTAGGGTCAACAACTGACTGTGTCGACGTCGGTGTATGTTTAAGGTACCTTTTTGCGTTCCGCTTGCTCGCCCTCGAAGAGTGACCGGACTTCGGCCGATTCGGTTTGTAGTTCGAGGATCAGTAACGCTTGCTCGTCCCTTTCACTTGCCAACCGCGCAGTCTGCTCCTTCGACGAGTCGAGCCACTGCTTTAGTTCTTGCAGCTCAGCCAGAAGGTCGCCCTTGGAAGCTCTCAGGTCATTGTTCTCGCCGTTAAGTGGTCGAACCTAAACAGCGTAGTGAGCCTCGATAACGACTAGAAGAAGAGAAACCAAGAGACCTACGTACCGCTCCTGTTGACGCTCAAGCTGCTCTTCAGAGGCACGTAGCTGTTCGTTGAGGCTAGCTATCTCAGCATTGCGAGCATCGTTGCTTTGGCTGAGGGTGTCCACTTGACAACGCAGAACCTCGATTTGGCTCGTTAAGTCGGCCTGTTGGCCGAGCAAGGCGTCTCGCTCCCTTTCCTGAAGGGAGCGCATCAGCGAAGAGGCTTCCGAAGAGTGAGGGAGAGATCGACCGGTACCGCTGTTTCAGCCTGCTCCTTGAGGGCTTGCGAGAGGCCATTGCCCTTGACTGTGCTCTCCTCAAGGGCAGCACGAAGACTGGCCACTGTCTCTTGATGTTGTGAGAGCACGGATTGAACTTGCTTTAAGGAGTTTCGGTAGTGTGTAGCCTTCGACGTGAGCTTGGTCATCGCTTCGGCTTCGGCAGCAATCTGGCCTTGCAAGCGACCTGCCGTAAGAGATTGTGAGCACTGGTCTGTCTTTCAGTTGCGCAGGTGCCAAGAACGAACCTTTGTCTTGGTCAGATTGCGAGAGCGTACGCTTCGACTGCTCGAGCGCAGCTTCGAGCTGCCCAATTGCTCGCTTACGCTGCTTCGCGCTCTCGTCGACTAGCAGACGAACGGATGAGTGTTGAACGGTATGACTGAAGTGCTCGATACGTACGCTCCGTCAGTTTCTTCAGGTGCTCGGTCTTCCATTGCAATACAAGCCTCGCTTCGGCTTCCAGAGAGGCAACCGCTTCTTCCTGCAGCTTCATCTGCTTCGCGGTGACGCTTACATCTTCATTCGCTGCAGAACGTAAAAGAAAATTACCGACTGCTGCGAGACTAAAGCGTGAGGAAGGAGCAGTACCTGATTGAACTCTCTCGCCAAATGTAGTCACGGTCTCCTTGATGCAGTTGCACATGGTCTGCGTGGTCTTGACCTCGAACTCGAGAGACGACAGAAGCTTCTGCTGATGCTCGAGCATAGTCGTTAGCTTTACGTTCCGCTCTGAGTACTTAGCGATGCAGTCGGCCTGGTCTCGAATGATGCCCTCTGACTTGCTGAGCTTGTGCTCGAGCAGCCTCATGTCGGTATGCGACGTTACTTGACCCTTCATCAGTTTCTCTAGGAGAACGTGGCGTTAGCGTTGGACTTCTCGAACCGATACCAAGCGGAGCGAGAGGGCAGAAGTACCGGCAGCTCGCTTCAAGCTCTCATAGCAGGCCTCCTTCTCGCCTACCGTGCGCGGGTTCTCGGGCTCACCATCACCTCCCCCACAGTCCTTGTCGCGCGATGGTTCCATATCGAGAAGTGAAGGTCGCTTGGGTCTTGTAGCGGAAGTCGAGCGGAGCTGTAGCTTCGTGGTTCGCACCGTACGCGGGCAAGAAGGTGAAGTGACCAACCCTCGACTTACCTTTTCAAGCTCGTTTGCCGGCGGGATTGTCCGGATTTATCCGGCCACCTGTTCGCGCAACATCCCCCGATCCAGAAAGAAGACATAAGGGGAGAGGAGGGCGAAGGAGAACCACCTTAATTGCGCTTGAGGGCGTAGTTGCCGTCAACGTCCAAGGTCACTACATCGGCGGCGATCATGGTCTGCAGGTGCTGGACGAGCTCCGAGAGACTCTTGTCGTAGGAGTCGGAGGTCATGGCCAGCATCTCCTGGATACGGTCCGCGGGCAGTCGCTCCAGGTTCATGAGCATGGCCTTGATGAACTCTTCGAGCATGGTCCACATCTCTTCATCGGCCTCATCTCCCTCTGCGAGTCCTTCGCCCTCTTCGTCGGCCACCACGCCTAGGCGCGTTATGGTGATGATGGATAGCGTGAGCATGGGAAGCAAAGACATCGTCAAAGGCTGATCGCCAGCACGTACCTTCACCCGACGGGTTGACCTCTTCGCCGAAGGACACCTCATACACGAGGGAGCGACCTTGGAAGCTGGCCCTCAGGGCTCCGTTAGCCACCCAGTAGCCCGCACCCTTGCGCACCACCTCGCTGGTGGTGCCGAGCTTCTCCGCCAGCTCCTCGATTGGCCATATTTCTGTTGCGCGTTGGCCTAAGCACGGTCCACACAGCCAAGGAGGGCTCTGAAGGGGAGTACCTTGGTCTTGGAAAAGGTAGATGATGGCAGCCTGAAGCGGGGAGACACTGAATGATTGTGCGCCGTGGGGCCCCTCCAGCTCTACTTCAACGGTACCGAGAGCAGGGCGCCAGCAGAGCTTGCGCGACGCCTTGACGGCCTGGTACTCCTTTTCGTAGCTTTCCATCGAACTGTAGCGACAGTCGGAGGTAAGAACGCGCTGTGCTGGTTGGGGTACGTAGCCCACTGGAAGAAATGAGAACCTTTGTATGGGCGCGGGAAGAGTAAGCTCATCTTCGCGTAGCGTGGGCCAGAACATCGGAGAAATGATCGTGGTGTCGAGCAAGGCCTCACCCGTCTCTGCATTGTGTCGCACTGCGTGAGCAGGATACCCGGGGGAGGGGATGCTCGGCACAAAAGCAATACCTGTGGGTGCCTTCGCCTGTATCGTCTTGTTGATGTTGGTGTTGAGACGTCGTGATTCGGACATGTCCTGTAGCATGATCTCGCATTCGTGCAGACGAGTCTCGCCGAATCGCAATTTGAGCAACTCCAAGTTATGGTACTAGAGGTAGCGAGGGAGGCCTTGGTTAAGCATATGAGACCGAGCAAAGTTCAGGGTGCACACGTACGTCCTTGTCGGTGTTGTAATCTGTGATCGCGAGTAGTCGTGAAGCAAGCATGGTGCGGAACTCCTGCGTAAGTAGAAATATTAAAGCTTGCACGTGCTGAGTCGGCGGTACCATTGTAAGCGACTTACCTGGATGAAGAGATCATCGGAGCCATAGATCTGGACCAAAAGAGATACAGTGTCCATCTGTCGAGCAGCGTCGTCTGCGATTTCGATATCTGGATGAATGGGTGCTGGCGTCCAACTGGCACCTAGAGGAAGGCATGGTGTCAATCGAGGCGTCGACATGAGTTAGAGCGGAGCAGAGAGGAGGGAGGGAGGGAGAGAAAGAGATCTCTCTTTCAGTACCTTCGTCATCATCAGGTTCGGTGTTCTCTTCTTCGTCGTAATCATCGTGCACCTCTGCTTCAGCGTGCCCCAGCTCCTCGTAAAGCTCGGGATTCGTGTCCCCTGTAACAGTGCTTACGACGCAGCGCATGGTGTCATCTCGTCCCCTGGAAAGGGTCAGTCAAGGAGTGAGCCAAGCTGCTTTTGTATGTGATTGCTTTGCCATACCTGAGATAGGCCGCAATAGGGGGACGGATCGCATCCAATAGCACCGAGGTGGGGTCGAGCAAACGCAGCGAGCAGATGGTGGACACATAGGTATCGATTATGTCGTTCGTGCTTGCTCCACTATGCAACAATCGTCTTGAGAGCCTGTTCGTAAGGTGAGAACACGTTCAATGCATACTCCGCACGGGTAATGGTTAAAACGAGGTGTACGTTTGGGTCAGCGAAGACACCAGCTCGAGATGCTGATCACTCCTTGCCAGACTCTCCTTGAGGTCGAGCAGGGCAGGTACGCTGTCTGGATAGTCCACAATGATGTCAAACAACTCGTTCGTCCTTTCCCAGGATAGGAAGACGACTGTTAGTACATAACCAAGAGTGGCTTGTCTCTGGAAGCTGCAGTGTTACCTGAGCGTGGCGATGATTTGATAGAGGTGCGACTCGAGGCGAGCCTTCCATTGCTCTAGCGAAGACAGTGGTCGGCGCAGGGTGAGGGCCATCCACTGAAGAGCAGCGCCGGCCAGCCAACGCAACATGGAGGGAAGCACGGAACTGTCGAACACTGCCTTGCACGCAGAGTTCTGTCGGTTTGCGCGCAAGATATGTCAGATCGACGGACTGAATCACGAGACAAAAGCTAGGGCGCGCATACCACTCGGCTTTCGGTTTCCTCGAACACAACCTCTGTGACGATCTCCTCGCAGACCTCCTGCGATGCCATGGCCAGTAGTGCGTCTATACCATGGGTTGCGTTTACTTCCCTCCCGTCGTTGTAGTCCATCTCCTCATTCTCGCCGTTTTGCTCATCGTGGTCCGCTTCCTCGTCCTCTGCTTCGTCCTCGTGCGCTTTAATCCATTTGCTGCTGTAGATGACGAATCGCCTTCGCAGGCAGTAGAAGAGCGCCTCGCGAATGGCTGGCTTTTCGGTGATCAGCTGCAGCTGGCTGAAGATCTCGAACCGCGCAAACAGATGGGTCCTGAGATCAAGGACGGGAGCCAGAGTGAGCGAGGAGGCGGCAAGTGGCATGAATGATGGAGCGGCGCATACGCATCACTAAGGCCCAACTCTGTTTGCAACAGTTCGATGACTGTGTTGACATCTTGTTGATGCTTGACGTGGTCCACGACTTCCACCAGACGCGCTTCCGCCCATTCATCGAGCTCGTCCTTGCCAAGTTTGCGCTTTGCTTCCTGGCAGTACTGGTGTGTCAGCAATGAGCAACCCATAGGGCGGCGTGTAGGAGAACGTACCTCTAAGCTCCGAACACCAGCATCAGTAATGAATGGAATAGAACCGAGCTCTACTGTGCTGCGTGCCGACAGCTGTTCTGCAACAGCTGATGTTAACACACTAGCTGAATCTTGGAAGAGGCAAGCGCTGAGTAGTACCCCAGTACCACTCCACGAGCAGCCTTGCCAGCGTTTCCTCTTCTCGCAAGACTGCCAGACTAGCACCTACACGCATGGTCAGGAGATGGAAAATGGGGGAAAAAAATCTAGAGTACCAAGACGTACCAATTGCATCTCGTAGCGAACCTCCTGCTTGCAAATTTGTACGAGGAGCCAGCGCGGCTGTAACCACCTCCCATGCGCGTTCCATCCTGCTCACGATCTTCGCGCCAATTCTGTTTTTATTGAATTTTTTGATTTTCGTTCTTTCTTTTGTAATTTCTTTTTGATTACATTCTTTTTCCTCTCTAAGAAACTTAGAGGCCCAATTCGTGGACTAGGCAGGCAGGACTGTTGCGCACGTGTATTCGTCGAACCGAGAACGAACAGGAAGGACACGAAGCCTTTTCGCCACGAGCGAAGTGATCCAAAGGGGGCGGGTTAGGGTTCCGTCTCGAGCCCTGTTGCTCTCCGGATCCTGCTGCCCCATTTGATAAAGACGTGCCAGCAGCATAGATGGAATCGATTTCGCCAGGCTGGCGGGACTTGAGCTCCTCCACCTCTTCGACGTCAGGATCCTCTCTGTCGACATGCTCGATCATATCAATGGATCGAAACCTCACGGACGAGGGCACCAGCCCCAGCAAGAGGGTGGAGCCCAGCAACCGCCTCAAGAAGCCACCAGGGTCCGATGAGGAGATCTCCAGCAGCGGAATCTTTTACAAGATGATGGGCGAGGGTGCCTTGACTTCTCTTGGCTACTCCCGATCTTCGCCTGGGCGCGAGGGACGAGGACCCGCCATGTTTCCGCCTCATGACGGTACCCGTTCCTCTTGACAATCAATTCCATTCTTTTACTATTATAATATAATTATTTTCATTATTATTATAAATAAAGGCAGAAAGAAAAATTTTAATTGTACATGTGCCTAAACGTTTACTGGGCACAGGCGAGGACTCGCAACCGTCATCAGCTTCGGCATCGCCGCAGCCCAAGAAGAAGAGAAGTTGGATCGACAGGTTCATGCAAAAGGACGGCCGCCACGAGATCAAGAAGGAGATCGCGGAGACGGAAGCGCTGCGCAAGAGCAGGGAGCGCCAACAGCACCAACAGCAGCAGCAGTATCAGCAGGCGCCATCGTCATCACCGCCGCAGCAGCAGAGTCGGTGGCCGCCCAAGGAGGAGCGGCCCGAGTCGAGCTTTTGCGTGAACTGGCGCGCACGCGAGGAGCTCTACCGCAAGAAGATCGAGGAGCTGACCGAGGCCGAGATCAGGGCCAACATTCAGTTCTACGAGACGTCCGACCTGCTGGTGCTGGTCAAGAGCGTACGCGGCCGCAACGACCACGCCGCCTTCCGCATCCTCCAGCGGCACCTCGAGGAGCTGTATCTCCTCAAGCACATCCTCTACGAGCGCGGCTTTTACCTCAACTCCACCGACCCGCCGCTGGCCACCGGGAGTCCCGATGCGGGCTACCACAGCCAGATGAAGGATCGCAAGAGCCACAACCTCCACATTCGATGCGAAGCCAAGACTACCAAGAACCTCGCTGAGTATGTCCCATCTCACCACTCGTGGTAGCACAGCTGAGCCGTTCTGACGTGTATGCACACACACACACACACACACAGGTGGTTGGAGATGATGGCACTGCCAGTAGCCACCAGACAGACGCGAACGCCCCGGACCAGTTCCCACGCTTCCTCCACTCCTCCGCGCTCACCCTCCTCGTCAGAGATCAGAACCGAATCGCAGACGTGGTTCTCCAGGTACCCGTACTCGACATCGAGCGCATGTGGTGCGATGGCTGAGTCTCGCTCGTTCGTGTGCGGTGTGACTGACCGTGTGCGAACGCACCAGATCGGCACGCAAAATCTATGCGGAGGTGAACTACCACAACGACGTGCTGGAACTCTACCAGCGATGTATAGACGTGCTGGAGTTTGCCGACATCGAGTCCAGGCTCGACTCTTCGCATTCGCACCAGTATGACGCTGTTCCATCACCCTCCACCGTTTCGTCGACCTCCACCGTGGGCCTCAGGTACGCGAGTTTCCCCATGAGACAGCCCTCAAAACTAGAGCCACTCACTCCGCACACCGTCAACAGGGATCAGCTGCTGAGCAAGCTCTTTCTCGATTTTGGCGAGTATTTCCTGTGGTGCGGCGACTACGTGGAGTCGGCGCAGGCTCTCGTGAGAGCCTTGGTCGAGGTATGCTGGCGCTGCTTCCCAGCCCGCCAGACAGTGGCATAAGCCGCGCCCCTCGCTGACCGAGAAGTGGTCCACACAACGCAGGAACCCGCCTGTCCACCTGCGCTGGGTCTGCTGCGGTGCAGCTTGCGATTCCTTCCCTCATCTGCGCGCCTGCAGACGGCTGGCGTGTTGGCCAAGCTGCCACCTAATATCCCTCCCGACGGGGACAAGGACATCATCTCACTCTTCAACCACGTTCTGAACGACCACTCCGGACCCTACTCCCTGCACATACGGTACTATATACTCTTCCCCACCGTGTGTCTCCTCGTTTTTGCTCCCCCCCCCCGGTAGCTCGCATGATGACGTCTCGTGCGTGTCGTGTGTGTGCGGTCAATAGATTCCGAGTCTTGGCCTGGGTGATCGCTCGACTTCGTTACTATAAGGAGAACAAGGTGAACATCGAGGGAGTATACGGCTTGCTGCGCATTCTGGTACGCCCTCTTACAAGCTTTGACTTGTATTGGCCAGCCATGCGTGAGGCCAGTAGCTCATACGCCGCTTTCGTGTCGCGTCTGTATGATAGGTGCGGCTGTTCAACGATGACAACAAGCACGTCAGGCAGCTGGCCAAGGGCGCCGTGTCCGACTTTGGCGATCGCGTGCTCCGCATCGTGGACAACGCCACCAAGGACCTCTTCAAGGAGTACCACGTCTTTTCCGCTGTACTCAAAGAGGTGCACACACTCTCTTTCTCTCTCTCTCTCTCCACCTCGGCCTTCATCTTCCACTCGATACTCACCTTGGCGATGTATGTACAGAGGTCCGAGTTTTTCCAGCGCATGCTCGAGTCGGAGATGATGGAGGGCCAGCCCGAAGAGCCGATCACCATTCAGGTGGACAACCCGCGGGTCTTCCACGCCGCGATCGAGTACCTCTACACGCAGCAGATCATCCTCAACGAGGAGAACGCCGTGGACGTGCTGATGTGCGCCAACCAGTACAGCTTCACCGACCTCCTCCACCTGGTCGAAGATTTCCTCTGCGTCCACCTCCAGTCCTCGTCCCTCGAAGAGACCGGTACGGCGCTCCTTCCTTCCTGCTACAACGCACCTGATGAATCGCTCACCCGCTCCGCTTCACACACACACACACACACACACACACAGAACACTTGTACCATGTGACGGAGGGCATGGTGTGCCCGCGATTGCAGGGCATACTGCGGCAGCGGCTGCGCTACCTCTTCGAGAAGACGATCGTGAACTCGGACCACGAGAAGTTCGTCAGCATGGCCCACGACTACCCCATCCTCAAGCGGCAGCTCTTCTTCACCGACCACTACCTGTGCCTCAGCCTCTACACCGGCAACAAGGTCCGCGCCTCCCCCCTCTAACCAACCACTACACCACACCACCAAACACCGCACGCGGTGGTGTCGAGGCCATGCTTTCACACGTGTGTTGATTTTAACTCCGAACAGAACATCGCGATGTCGATGCTGAGCTGGGGCGTGGGCATCGAGCACAAGGAGAAGGAGAAGAAGGAGAAGAAGAAGGGGAGCAGCAAGTCCTCCAAGGGGTCCTCCAAGAGCAAGCCCAAGTCGCGCGTGCGCACCAAGGGCAAGGACAAGCAGAAGTCCTCCAAGGGCGGCACCAAGGACAGCAAGGACAAGGAGAGGGAGCGAGAGCGAGAGCAGCCCACATCGGAGGAGGACGAGGAGCGGGACCAACGGGGCAGCTACTCGTCATCGTCGTCGGCCTCGTCGACCTCCTTCACGCCCAGCACACGCCGGCGGCGCCCGCCGCCGCCACCCCCGACGAGTTCCTCCCGCTGGTGCCGCCTTGGTACTCCCACACCTCGCTGCCGGCCTTCATCGCGCCGCAGAGCGAGTTCGGCTCGCCCTCGCCGCCCTCGTCGCCCCGACTGCACGGCTCGCAGCTGGGCGTGCCCCCGAGCCCGATCGCCCTGTCGGGCTCGCCCCACTTGCTCTCGCCGCTGGCGAGCGCGGGGCCGGCACGCTCGCCGCCGGTGACGCGTCGCGACATGCGCGACTCGAAGGACAAGGAGGCCCAGCAGCAGCGCGACCCCATGCTCGGCTGCGTGACAATCCACGAGCTCAAGAAGAAGGAGAAGAAGATGTGGAAGGGCTGGGAGGCGCCGCTGCTGATCGCCATCCGAAGGGGCTATCCCGATATCGTGAAGATCCTCCTCGACGGCGACGCCGACACCAACGTGTTCACTCACTCGGGCAAGACGCCACTCGAACTGGCCGTGAAGCGCGGTAAGTCAACACACACCGCACACACACACACACACACCACACACACGGTGATTGACCGGTTTCATAGGTAAGAGCGGACCGGGCAGCGACATTGTGGGCATGCTCGTGGAAGCCGGCAGCGATGTGAATCGGCGCAGGACCAAGAAGGCGCAGGAGCAGCCCGTGTTCAACGAGGACATGTACGTGGTCCACTTCGAGCGCGAAAAGTACAACGCCATCTTCGACATCAAGAACACCCTCCGGAAGGACACCACCCCGTTGATGGTGGCCGCCCAATACGGCCACATGCAGGTAAAGCCCATCAGTGCCCGGTGTTAAGGGATTGCTTTATCACGTTTAACGCCCAACACGAAAACCGATTGAACGATGCAGACGATCGAGTGGCTGATCGCCGGTGGGGCGGACGTGAACGTGGCGACGGAGAACATGAACACGCCGCTCATGGTGGCCAGCGCCTTCGGCCACCTCGAATGCGCCAACAAGCTCATCGAGGCGGGGGCGCAGGTCAACAAGTGCAACATCTTTGGATGGAAGGCGCTCCACTTTGCCGTACACGGAGGCTACGCAGACATCGTCATTGGTACCTGCCTACCTGCCTACCTGGCTGACACACACACACACAACACTAACATTGAATGCTCGACATTTAGCCCTGTTCAAGGCCGGGGCGAGGGACTCGCTTGCCATCCACAGCACCAACCCAGACAACACGAACCCCAAGAGCAAAACGGCGCAGGTAAGCACGCGCCACCATCCCCCTTCTTCTTCCTTCCTTCTGTTCCGTGCCTCATTGTGTTGTGGGCGCGCAGGAAATGGCGGTGGACGTTGGGCGAGACGACGTCATACGTGTGTTCGACATCTACCTCACCAAGATACCGGCCTACGAGCGCGAGATCAAGAAGAAGACGATCCTCGAGAAGAAGAACTCCTTCCATCACTCCAAGGGCTAACCCCACTGAGGCAACACAACAAGTTATTCTCCACTCCGTTTTGCATCAGGCCCGTCTTGCGTGTTGTCGTGCGGAGCGTGGCTCTGCAGATCGTGCAGAGAGACGTGTACTTTCGTGGTCTTGCACTTCTGCCACGTGTCGAGTGTGCCCGCGTCGAGTGGCGCTGTGGCGCCCCAGGTGAAGGCCAGCAGGTAGTCGGCCTGGGCGATGAAGGAGTTTCTCTCGTGGAAATCCCCGGTGTACCTCGAGCCGGCACCCGAGGTGGAGTGCCATCGCGATGTCGGCGAGGGAGTCCCTTCTCGTTGCGCGGCTGAACTTCTTGTGGTGGAGGTTGGCACTCTTGCCCGGGTTGGTCTTCCCAGTTCTTCGCCCCGGAGTCGTGGAACGCGGGAACGTCGCCGTCCCACGCGCAGGGGATGTGCAACGTGAGCGACCGGGGCTCGCTGGAGAGGTGAGGAAAGAAGAAGCAGCACGGCCAGATGACCTTCAGACGAGAGAGGACTTGGCGGTGGTTCTAAGAAGAGGGTGTAGCAGATTGTACCGGCCCAGGCGGCTCCTCCGCTTACAAGATCGACGTCGTGCCATTCCAGACTCCAGGTCTGTGTGATGACGCGCTCGGCCTCCGCAAACATGAGATCGAAGAGCTGGGCCGTCATGAGCGGCCCCTTGCGGCCTGCAGTACCCACTATCGCCACGCGGGGCATCTTCTGGTGCAGCCAGCTCGTTCGTGTTGTTCACAACTCGAGTACAAAAATGGAAGAATGATGTGTAACGGGATGTTTGCAACAAACCCAACATCGCCTTAGACGATGGAGGACGTGGAGACCTGAGCGACGGCGCAGGCGTCCTGACCGAACTCGAGGTACATGTAGCCCTGGAGTCCCCAATCGGCGCCCCACGAGTTGCGGATGATCCAGTAGGGCGGGTTGGCAGCCAAGTTGTAGCCAACTGCAGTTGTGAACCACACGATGTGATGAGATGATGTTGATATCTAGAGCATAATAACACCACGTCACTCGATCACTGCTCGTATCAAGTTGTAATTATTACCTGCAAGCACGCAATGATCAATGGACGTAGTGCACGCATCGGCGGTGTAGACGCCGCCTGCACCAGACGCAGAAGAGGTGTCAGCAACCCACATCAACGTGTGTAGCGACGCGCGAGTCGCACAGCACGCGTGGACAGACCAAAGCCGTACCGGTGTAGAGGGACCATTGCGAAGCATCGACGCAGACAGAGATGGGGCCATGCTGGGCCAGGTAGTTGGCCTGCGCATCATAACACACACCAGAGGTGAGAAAAGAGCGAAGCCAAAGAGCGAAGACAGGCGAGCCCTTGGGGGGGGGAGGTGTACCATCTGGTGCTCGTCCTGATCCGTCGTGGTGTAGGTCCAGTCAGAGATCTTGGCCACCACCTCGCCTGAGTTGTAGGCGCAGTTGCCATCGGCCGCAGTGTAGGGGTAGTCGGCAAGAGGCTCCAGACCCGGCGCCGACATCACGTACTGCACTCAGATGCGGTGGCAGGGCACACCTACGCCCGTCAGCACACGACACACGCGGACCTCGACAGAGGGGAGAGAGGGCACCTCGTAGGCATTGTAGGGCCAGCCGCCGCCGCAGCCAGAGTCGGTGGAATCGCAGTCGACGATCTGCTGCATGGCGAGCTCGGTCAGCTTGTTGCCGGCGAGAGCCCACTGCGACTCGATGTTCTCGGTCGCGGAGAACGCCCTGCACAGCCCCGAGCGAACATGACGTCAGTTCTCCTCATTGCTATTGCGGCTGTGCCGTTCACGAGAAGAACGAGTGCAGCTGGTGGAAGGCGCGACAGCATACCAGCACGAACCGCACTGGCCCTGGTTGTACACGGGGGTCACGACGCCCGTCTTGTTGCGCCAATCGAACGAAGTCGGGGCCTGCACAGAGGTAAAGACGCGAGTCACATAAACGTACGGTGAGGTGCGGCGGCAAAGCTGCTGGTGTGTAGGCCAACCGTCGGATTGGGAAAGATGAAACGATAGAAGATGAAGTGGTGGTACAAACCTTGAGGCCGGCGTAGGTGGGTCCACGGACGCGCTTTTCGGTGGGCAGGGGCGGCGGGCGCATGAGCACGCGGTTCTGGAACTCCTCCTGAGTCATGTCCGCGAACTGGGTGATGCCGTGCTGCGTCTTGCCCTGGGCATCGAAATAGTTTATGTACATCTCAATCAACATCTCTCTCATCTATGTGAGATCAATGGAAAGACGTACGGCATACTTGGCGTTACGAGCAGCGATCTTGGCGAGGTTGTGGGTGAAGATGCCGAGCCTGTGTTCGTACTCGTCGCTCGCGGCCGCGTAGTGCTTGCCGTAGCGCACGAGGAAGGCATCGAACTGCTCTCTGATGGCCGCGTCGCCGGCCGACGCCGAGTCGTAGGCCTGCGCCTCGAAGGCCAGAGTAACCATCGCCAGCATGGCGAGGGCTGCCATCACTACCGCACGCGATCTCATCTGCATCATCTTGTCAAAAGATCGAAAAACGCAGGGCAGTGAATAAGCTAATTCAAGCACTAGTGGGGACGAGGGTAAGGATGGAGATAGGCCTACCTTTGACGATCGAGTTGCGTGTAACAACGCACTCTGCTCGTTATCTACCTGTGTCATTTAAAATTAAACAACAGCTGTGTCGACATTCCATGAATAGCTGAAGGGAAGCCCTTCGATCAAAAAGAGTGCAGCGACCAACCAAATGAAAGCCACTCCTACACCATTGCCCATACTCCCACATCCCGCCAGAAGGTTTGCAGTGCCCTGGTTGACAGCCAAGTACTTAATGTGCCGTGTGCGTGCAGCCTGACTGATAATCCCAATACGGTGCCGCAAAGGGCGGCTCTCAAGCCGCCACGGCTCCTGCCCCTGTCTGACCACAAGGCCCGGAAAAGCGGAGACCAGTGCCGGAGCACCAACGCCAAAATCGAACAAGTGAAGAGAGCGATAGGCCAAGCGAGGACGCCGCCGCACCATGCTCTAAAGATGTGCATTTTTTTCACCTTCACTCTTGCCAAAACTCCGTATTCTTGTCTTTCGTCCTCTCCGTATCTGGTGGGCTGAACGCACTCACACGCCTTCCACCTCCAGGATTTCGTTGCAGTTTGTCCTTCGGTTCGTCGCGTGTCCCCTCTTCGTGCGCGTAGTGGTTGTCATCAGATCGACCACATACACCCGGGCACATCCCGCCAACCTCGCCCAATCATTACACGACCACTTAGCCGGTCTGAAATGCGATTGGGCGTGACCCTCATCACCGTGGAGGCGGCCGAAATTTCCAATCGATTTTCGCCGGGACACGATTAATATCGCCCGCCTTGTTGGCGGGGGCGTGGGTTGCCTCAAGAGCCCACGCCGTCTTTATCAGCCCCCAGCAGCCGCCTCGCTCGTCAGTCATTCAACTCTCCTCTGCGAACCGCGCACCTCTCCTCCACCGCCTCGCCGGTTTCTTGTCTGCTAAGTGTACAACGACCCCGAGGTCTCTCTACTCAAGAATCATCCAGAATCAGAAAAGCATCGATCTCAAGCAACAACAACTGCACATCAGCTCCTCTCGCGTTCGATTTCCGAAAGAAGAAAAGTCCTCAACGACGATTACTCGACAGTAGATAGCACCTACACAACACACCACACAACAAGAAGATGTTCGGACGATACGATACGTGCCAGACCGTGAACAAGCCGGTGCGCGACGCGGTCTACTACAGACTCAAGTCCATCCAGCGACGCGCCGTGCGTCCAGGACTGGTCTCGCCCGACTGGGAGACCAACCTCTACTTCTGCGGTGTCGTCAACAAGTACCAGAACAACCACTCGTACGCGGCCTCCCCTCCTTTCCCTGATCTCTTCTTCTTCTTATTCGTTGCTCCGCTTCTGTTGTCTCGGGAAGCATCATCTTACGCATGATTGTTTGTGGGTGCCCACAGTCATGAAGCCGCTCTCGGCGTCATTCACAAGCGCCTGCTCGCCGGACTCCGTCGCGTCAAGCGTTCCAACCGAATCACTTACCTCTCCCTCATTGTACGACCCCCCCCCTTCGTCGTCTTCGTCTTCTTCCCCTGTTTTTCGTGGTCGTTCTCGGTTGCCTCGCATTCGCTCTTAGCGCGTCGTCGTATTTCTTAAATTCTTACGCTTCGCTCTTTGCCCCCCCCCTTCCTCCTCCGGTGCAGCTGTTGGAGACCTGCATGAAGAACTGCGGCACCCGGTTCCACTATGTGGCGGCCGACGAGGCCCTGTTCAAGACGCTGCTGCGCCTGGCCCGCCCGCGCATCAGCGGCAAGCGCATGTTCGGCGTGAGCTCGTCGGGCAACTACATGCGCGACCTCATGGAGGAGCGCGTGCTGCTCCTCATCCAGGCCTGGGGCAAGGCCTTCAGCGACCGCACCAACGGCCGCATGAGCCTGTACACCCACCACTACAGCCAGCTGCGGTCCAAGGGCGTGCGCTTCCCGCCCGAGCGGCCCGAGGACGAGGTCTTCTCCAAGCAGGAGAAGGAGGCCCAGGGCCGGTCGTCGCGCAACACGCAGATGGACGAGGAGGAGGTCAAGTCGATCCTCAACCCGCTCAAGGAGTCGATGGACGTGCTCGAGGAGATGCTCAACTCGCTCGGCCCGCGCGACAACCCCGAGAAGGACCCCGTCATCCAGTCGCTGGTGAGCCTGTGCAAGGAGGCCAAGCCGCGCGTCATCAAGCTCATCGACAAGTGCGTCGACAACGAGCACCTCACCGAGTTCCTCATGAACACCTTCGACCGCCTCGAGGAGCTCCTCAGCCAGCACGAGATCAAGTGCGGCCGCACCACCGGCGCCCGCCCGCTCAAGTACGAGACCTCGCGCCCGCCGCGCGAGGGCGGCGCTCCTCGCAGCGGCAAGTCGTCCAAGTCGAGCCGCGGCAAGCAGGACGACAGCGACTATTCGAGCGACGACAGCGACGATGACGACGGCGAGGAGAACTACGACGACGAGAGCGACGACGACGACTACCTGCGCGGCAGCAACAAGGGCGGCAACGTGCCCAAGGAGAAGAAGGGCAGCTTCGGCACCCTCTCGCGCAAGCGCAGCACGTCGCTGCCCCCGCGCGTCCAGCAGAACCCGACCTCGCCCTCGCAGCAGCAGCTCCAGCAGCACTACCAACAGCACCAGCAGCAGCAACAACAGCAGCGCGCCACCCAGAACATGTCGGCCCCGTTCGCGCCCGTCGCCTACCAGCAGCCCCTCTATGGCGCCACCCCGCAGCCGCAGGCCGTGCCCGGCGCCCAGGACGACTACCAGCAGCAGCAGCTCCAGCTGCAGCAGCAGATGCAGAGGCTGCAGATCCAGCAGCAGCAGCAGCAACAGCAGCTCCAGCAGGCCCTCGCCCAGTCGCCGGCCTCGCCGCTCAGCCCCCGCGGCACCGGCGGCTACACCGCCGGTCAGTTCGCCGGCCAGCCCGGCAGCCAGGGCCAGCAGCAGCCGCAGCGCGTGATGGACGTCGGCCGCATGTCGACCGATGACTTCAACAGGCTCGCCGCCCAGGGCTTCAAGACCATGGACCCTGCCGCCGGCCACGCGGGTCAGCCATCGCCCATGTCCCCGTTCTCGGCATCGGCACCCTCGATCCCCTACGCCGGCCCCATCTCTCCGCCGCACTCAGCTGGCAGCCAGCCCCACCCTCAGCAGCAGCAGCAGCAGCAGCAGCTCCAGCAACAGCAGTACGCCCTCTACCAGCAGCAGCTCGCCCAGCAGCAGCACCTGCAACAGCAGCAGCTCCTTCAGCAGCAACAACAACTGTGGGGCCAGCAGCAGCCCGGCAGCCAGGGCCAGCAGTGGCAGCCGCAGACGCTGGCCCAGCCCTCGAGCAGCCACGGCTCCTTCTCGCTGATCGACTCCGACCTCGACTTTCTCGCCTCCGTCGGATCCGGCAAGGGCCAGATGCCTCAGCAGTACCAGTACCAGCAGCAGCAGCACACTCGCTCGGCGGCCTAAAGTCGAACCTGACCTCGAGCTTGCCCACGCTGCCCTCGATGGACCACCACCAGCAGCAGCACGCCCCCTACGGCGGCCCGGGTGCCTACCAGCGGTCGGCGAGCGTCGCCAGCGGCCTTCCGCCTCCGCCTGCCGCCCACCGTTCCCGTACCAACTCGCGCAACGGCCAGGCCTACTGAGCTCAGCAGTGACTCTACAACACACCCGACCCGCGAGAGGCTCGACCAGGACAAGACCTCCCCCCGCAGCGTTGCAGTCGCCGACGGCGAATTCTCCCCTGCAGCTTTACCTCCGAAGACACTTGTAGTGGCTGGCGCTTGGCCGCCAAGTCGTTGTACAGAATATTTATTTGTTCCCCATACCCACTTCGGTGTTGTGCACACTCCTGTCGCGCCCGCCCCTGCCTTGCCATCACTCAAGTTCCGGCAAAGGGCAATGTCGGCCAGCTCAGGGCTTGTGCCCGCGGGTTTTGCCGTACTTGCGCCGTCGCCGTCTCCAGAAGAGGGGTGAAGGCTGACGACAACCCTTTGTTCTGCTGGGGGCAGGCAAGCCACCCAGCTGCTGATAACATCATTCACTCTTGGTAAAGTACACCTCGTGCATGCATCTCTGCTGTGCGGCAGTGCCTGGCCAAACTGCGTTAGCTAGCTCCCAGTTGCTCTGCTTGGAACGACCAAGCACCATTGGGCAGGAAGGCTGATTGTGGCGATACTCTCTCAAAGAGATGGTAAAATGTTAACAGCAACAATTCACCGTGCAGCCAGATCAAAGATCTTTGATCGACAGCAATGAATGAGGGAGAGGTTCGATTTATTCGGAGAGCTAAAAGAACCGATAGGGGGTGCGGGGCATTTGAGAGTTTAGTAGTCCTCCTCATCGCCGCCGAAGAGACCCATACCACCATCACCACCACCATCACCGAAGACGTCATCGTCCTCCTCCTCCTCCTTCTTCTTCTCCTCAGCCTTGGCAGCGGGGGCAGCACCACCGGCGGCGGGGGCAGCAGCGGCGGCAGCGGGGGCAGCAGCACCGACGGGCACGGCACCGAGCTTCTTCTTGCCCTCCTCGATGACCTCGAAGACGTCCTTGCCGCTCAGCTCGCCGACGAGGAGCTCAATCTTCTCATCCTCAGCCTCAACGCCGACAGACTCGAGGATCTTCTTGATGTCAGAACCAGAGGGGGAGGAGTTCCCGCCAAGAACTGCAAGCAGGTAAGCCGCAATAATTCGCATGCTGTTGTAGAAAGAGAGATGTGGTTAGGAATATGAATCTAAGATCGAGATGAGGTGAGGGCCGAGGGGCGACAGGGAGGCCGTACTTTAAGGTACTCCGAAGGGTCCAACTGGTACGATGTAAAAGGGGAAGAAAGAGAAAAGAGGGTCCTTTTTGTGCCGTCCAAAAACCAGCCGCCGGGGAGAAAACGCAGAAACAAATCAGATCAGACGGGTCTCCTACTATTTTCCAGGATTGAGCAGTGCACAAGTGAAAAATGAAGGAAATAAATTTTCCTGGTAATAATAATGGGGTACATTTCTTTGGCCGTTTCAGTTTGTGGGGGGCTGAGTCTTAGAATTTGATCGCTCCCACATTTTGGCTCGAGTGAGGACATCATGGCATTCCTGTTCGGCTCGCCGATTGTGGTGACAATCTTGCTTGATGGTGTGGAAGAGAGGAAAACCATCGACTTCACCACCGAGAACGGATCAGAAAAATTGCCCCTGTACATTGGGGACGAGACCGTGAAGGGTGTTGCCAAAGTCACGTGCAAGGAAGGAAAGAAGTATGAGCACCAGGGAATCAAGGTCGACTTTATCGGGCAAGTTGGTAATCACCGTTCCTCTCATTCCCCCCCCCCCCAAACCTACCCGGTGAATTTGTGGTGTTCGCTTGCATGTGACAAATGACGCTGCCCTTTCAACGCCAGCGTTAAAATCTGATCTCTATTTGTGCACGCAGAGATGTTCTACGAGCGAGGCAGCAGCCACGAATTTGTTTCGCTATCGAAGGAGCTCGCCGCTGCGGGAGAGATCACAGGCGTGAACGAATTCCCCTTCGAATTCTCCAAGGTGGAGAAGCAGTACGAGTCGTACCACGGCATCAACGTGCGCCTCAGGTGTGAATCGCCTTCCAACCCCCCCTCTTTTCGCTGTCCTGTTCTTCGACATCGCTTGTTGTGGGCGCCGGCGCTGACGCACAGGTGGTGGGGAGTGTAGGTACTTCGTGCGCGTGACAGTGACGCGGGGCCTGGCGTCGACGGTTACGACCGAGAAGGACATTTGGGTGCACAACTACCAGGTGAACCCGGACGTCAACAACCCCATCAAGATGGAGGTCGGTATCGAGGACTGCCTTCACATCGAGTTCGAGTACAACCGATCCAAGTACCATCTCACTGATGTCATCATCGGTAACAACGTCTCGCTCTCGCTTCTGCGCCACCTCGCCACTCACCTTTGCCGCGATGGTCTTTAGTAACATAGTTTGCTTGTCTCTCTCGCACTTCCACAGGCAAGATCTATTTCCTGCTCGTGCGCATCAAGATCAAGCACATGGAGATCGCCATCATCAAGCGAGAGTCGACCGGCTCTGGTAAGCCTCGCCTTACGTTCCTAGTTCGTGCCAGTGCGCTAATCGGGCTGCCCTACATCAGGACCTAACCTGTACAACGAGAGCGAGACCATCACCAAATACGAGATCATGGACGGTGCCCCTGTCCGAGGTACTTGCTCCTCCCCACCCGCGATGTTGTGCCTCGACCGCTAAAGAGAGAGGTCTCACGATTGTCGTTACGTACTCAGGCGAGTCAATCCCCATCCGTCTCTTCCTGACGCCGTTCGAGCTCACCCCCACCTACCGCAACGTCCACAGCAAGTTTTCCCTCAAGTACTACCTTAACCTCGTTCTCGTGGACGAGGAGGATCGTCGCTACTTCAAGCAGCAGGTACAATCACCCCTGTGCCCACAACTGGTTTCCAGGTTCAGGCCTGACCAACTGGATGATAATCACTCACCACGTCGTCGTCGTGGCGCGCCCTGTGCGCAGGAAATCGCCCTGTGGCGGAAGGCCGACAAGACGAGAACGAAGACCGGCGAGAGGACGCGTCAGCACAAGAGGTACGAGGGCAAGCGGGACAAGGAAGCGGCCGAAAGGGAGAAGGCCGGCATCAAGGAGCCCAAGAACGACGACGAAGAGCACGAGTACTAGAGTGCAACACCCCTCTCAAACCCCCGCCCGACCCACCCAAGGATGCACCTCCGCACACGCCAGGCCTTCCTCACCCATGACCCGCGTTATCCTTTATCGCCTCGCCCTTGAATGCAGAGCGCCCCCCGTTACTCACTCCCTCCTCTAGTCTTCCGCCCCGCCGCCGCACACCGACACACAGAACATGCCTGGAGCAAAAAGGTGGGTGTGGGCCGCTTGATGGCGAATCACGCGGTGTTGGGGGTATTGGGGTCCAGGAGGATCCCGACCTTGCGGCCAGGCGGTTTGTTGATGAAGCAGGGTTTGCTCTCTGCGTTGGTGGTGAGGCGAGGTCAGGTCTGTGCCGACCTTGACGACCCGCCTCCATAACTCGTGGTACTCGCTGCATCAATGCTGGGAAGGCATGGCACTCCCTGCTACGTCGAACCTTGGACTCGAAGTAGCATGACATCATCTTTGCAAGCTGAGAGCCCACACCCAACCGCTCCTCGTGTGCCTGGGGCCACAAGAGCCAGACCGCCTTGTGGTAGCGAGCCTTGGACAAAACGCAGAAAACAACACGCGAGCAGATCTTCGCTGCGAAGGAAATCGAGATGCGAGGGAGCAGCGCTCGATGCAAGTGGGCCGCTGCACGCGTGCAGGTGGGGCTTCTGAGCTGGGGCTGTGGCCCAGTGAGAGGGTTTGCATCGTTCAGATCGAATGAAGGATTTTCGCGCGGCTGGAGATCGAAGGAGGGAGGAAACAAGCATCGAACCCATCGGTTTCGGCCGGAGGGAGCGAGCGCGACACAAGGCGGGGAGTACGTGTACGGCCTGCAGTCGGTCGAGGCCGCTCTTGCCCGCTACCGCACCAAAGATGTGCTCCGGAGTAGCAGCAGCGACGTCAACACGGAGGGCTGCACCGATGACGGTGCGAATGGATCAACGACAGCGCGGAGGGTGCATCGTCTGTTCCTGCAGATGCCTGGTCGCGACGGTGAGTCGCAAGGAGGAGGCCACAACGACGGCGAGGCACGACAAGGGGTGAACGGGAAGCGTTCCGCCGGTGCGGAGAGCATTCAGGAGATGGCCAAGGAGCTTGACCTCCCCGTGGACTACCTCCCCCGTCGGGAGCTTACCACGTAAGCCCTCCGCGTATCTCAGGTGGATCTCTGTGTCGTGTGGGCCATGTGTGCCGGTGTGTGTGGTGATGAATGACCGCGGTGTGGCGTATGCAGACTCGTGGGCCAAACAACGTGCACCAAGGCGTTGTGCTCCATTGCAGCGCCCTGCGGCCAGCGCTGGCCAACTACATGGAGCGAACGGAGCCGCAGCAGCGAGAAGGCCGTGCGCCTCTCTGGGTGGCACTCGACGAAGTGTGGGATCCTCATGTACATGCCTCCTCCCCCTCTGCGCTCACAGCTCGATCCTGACCGTAGCCCGCGTGCTGCAGAACTTCGGGGCGATCGTGAGGAGCGCCATGTTCTTCGGCGCGCGAGGTATCATCCTAAGGTACTACAGCACAGCACAGCTCTTTATTTGGTGGTTCGCCCCCGGCCGAGAGTGCTCACTCTCCCTCATGTCCGCGCACCACAGTGAAAGGAACTCATGTCCGCCGAGCCCCCATGTGTCCAAGGTGCGTACCGACTGATACATGTATCACTGCGATACGACTCAGCTGACGTCTCGATGCGAAAGGCCAGTGCAGGTGCGTTAGAGTTTGCTCGGCTCTATCGAGCGCGACATCTACCGCAGTTTTTGCACGAGAGCAGCAGACGGTACCACGACCCAAGAAACTGTTCTTGGGCAGGCCCAGTGCTTGACAGGACAACTGCTTCTTTCTTTCCTCGCGCACAGCGGCTGGAACATCGTGGGCACGGCCCTGGAGGCTGATGCCTGTCCGAGCCACAAGCTGAGTCTGAGCGCTCCCACCATTCTGGTGCTGGGTATGGCCACCTTTGCCCATCTTAGCTCCCCGATATGACGTTGGGCTTATTCTCGCCTCCACTGTGATCTCGACAGGCAACGAAGGCTACGGGCTGCGGCCGAGCGTGCGTAACGAGTGCACAATGACCACCAAGATCGAACACAGCGAGGCCTCGGGCGAATGCGCCCACGGCTCCTATAAACTGGACTCACTCAACGTGAGTGTCGCGGCGGGCATCCTCATTCACCAGCTCTCGACATCACTCCATGGCGTGCCCCAGCCACCATCGTAGAGCGGTCGTTAGCCTCTCGAGCCAGCCAGGTACTCACCTTCACGGTGGTCGTTACAACGATTGTAACGGCCTCGGCAAGAATGCGCACAACTGCCGCTTCGATTTGAAAAAAGAGGCATTCCTTACCTATTAAGGACTATAGGCCCAACACTCACCACCCGTTTCTCAAGACACACAGCAGAGGTCCGTGTCGACTGGTTTCTAAACGGTTGAGATCTGACGCGTTCGAGGACTGCATGTTGATGCTGCCGGTGGTGACACATAACACAGAATAGATCGCGAGCGCCCCACGAGTGACTTCCGTCGAACCTCTCGCAGCGCCGATTTTCTCTCCTTGCAACGGCTCATCTCCCCACCTCTTTCCTCATCCCTCCCCCCTCCCCCCCAAAATACCCACGCCGCGACTCGAGCAGCGAGGAGGCGGAAATGGCGACGAACAGTTGCGATCTTCCCGCCCAGGCTCTCGACCCGCGAATCCTAGACCCGACCCGCACGAGCTTCGAACAGCTCCCCCATTCCCAACAACTTCAATACACCGTGCGTCTCTCTCTCTCGGCCTCCACTGCACTGGCATGTATGGCGTCGGCGGGTTGTATCTCACAGCTCCTTCCGCGGGCAAACGTGGCAGGCCTTCATGGGCTGGTGTAACTTCTGGCTTGAGCGAGCCCGTCTCCCCGTCCTCTCCGATCTATCCGTCGACTTTGGCAGCGGTGCGCACGACACCCACCGCCACCACCGCCACCACCGCCACCGCCACCACCGCCGCCACCCACCCAGGCGGATGGGGCTTACCTGCAGCCGTGCTGTGCACACGGATGGATGTGTGGACACAGGCGCGGTGCTCTCTTCTCTGCTGGAGATTTTGTCTGGGAAGCCGGTGCCGGACATCAGCTTAGCCGGTTCTACCAAGGATCACGTCGCCAACCTCGAATCCTGCTTTTCGTTCATGAGGCGAGAAAACGTGCTCCTTCTCCACATCATCCAGCCACAGGGTACCTTCGCACGCCGCCTTCCTTCAAAAAACAACAGAAACGATCTCACGTGGCTCTCTTCTCATCACGTTGTTGTTCTTCCACGCACCAGACATTCACGACGGGAAGCTCACCTCCGTGTTTGCCCTGATCTGGGCGCTGATCGTCTACTACGGCATCATCAGGCCGTTGAGCTACGAAGAAGCCGCCCCGAGCGGTACGGCCTTGCTGTGTTGTGCCAATCATTTTTTTTTCTTCGCTCACCCTGCTCCTTGACGCGGCCAATCATTAGAGCTTCACGGGCCGATCTCGCTGGCCACGGCGGAGAAGCTGCTGGCGCGCCGCGTCAACCTCTTCCTGACTCACGAAGACAGGGCGGGCAAGAAGGGCAAGAAGAAGCGAAAAGAGGCTGCGACCCTGCGTGCGGCGCTATTCAACTACGAGACGGCGCTCGAGAGCGGCAGCCTCTTCTCCAGCCTCATCGCCAAGGTGAAGCCCCGACTGCTTACCGCCAAGGGCGACGGAGGAAAGGAGCGCAAGCGGAGGGATGTCGGCGCCGTACTCGCACTCGACTCCGCGCTTGACCTCCTCCGCCGAAAGTGGGGCCTTCCTGCCTTCTTCGCCGAGCGCGACTACGCCGCGTGCCTGCGCGAGAAGAAGCCGGTCCTGGCGTATGTCACGCTGTGCCTCCACGCCCTTCGCCCCGCGCCCTCGCCATCGTCGTCGGAGCCCAACAACAACGCCAGCGGCGTCTCGAGCAGCAGTAGCAGCAGCGCGATCACTGCCTTCGTGGGAACGAACAGCGGCGTGGTGTCATCGAGCGCGCTGCTGGCCGCCGTGGACTCAGCTGCGGGTCGCGAGCCGGTGGAGGACATGAAGCTGCGGCGATCCAACTCCACCGGCCTGCCCTCGTCTCGAAGCGGCGTACACTCGCTCGCTGCCGCCGCTGCCATCGCAACCAGCAGCGACAGCAGGAGCCAAGCCGCCGCCGGTGGTACTGGCACCGCGAACGAGAGCTCACGAAAGCGGAGCCTGTCGGAAGTGCTCCGCAGGAGTGCCCTCGGGCTGCTCAATCGAGCGATCGCAATGGCCGACGACAAGCAGCCGCCGCAGGAGCAACAACCACAAGTGCAGATGCAACGCACGGAAGAGGCAGGAGCCAGCCAGGTGGAACTACCGCGGCCAGCCAAGAAGCAGAAGGCCCGCAAGAGGCGGCCCAAGACGCTTGACGAGCGGCCGCGTCGGCGGAAGAAGGACAAGGACGCAGCGCCGAAAGCGGAGTTGGAGGAGAAACCGGCGACGAAGAGCCCACGCGAGACCCTCGTGGACTCACTGGCCAGCACCCAGCAAGAGCAGCCGCTGATGAGCACCGCGTGCTGCGAGGGCGTGACCACCATCGCCACCCACGACGCAGCAGCATCCAATCCATCGATCGTCACAGAGCAGCCACCGCAGCCGAGCGCAGATGGCGGAGGGAGCGAGCAGCCGCCGGCGGAGAGCGGACCGGGCGCGAAGAAGAAGACGAAGAAGAGCAAGCAGCGGAGGGAACGGAAGGAGGCCAAGGCCAGCGCCAATGAGGAGCGAAAGCTGCGGCGCGGCAAGGACTCGCTGGGTAGCGACAGCGTCGAGGCGACGCCCGTAATCGAGACCGCCACCGACAGTGCTGCCAAGGAGGGCGGTCCGGTCTCGAAGGAGAGCGGCGGCGGGCTGACGGTGAGTGGCCTGCTGCGTAAGAAGGACCGGAAGGAAAAGGGCGTCGAGGGCAAGAAGGCCGCGAAGAAGCAGAAGAAGGGCTCCAAGCTCATGAACCTCATCACGCGGCCGCGGGGCAAGAGTCGGGCTGACACCCTCGAGGCCGGCTGGGTCGAGCACGCGGCCCGGGCCGCCAGCCTCATCGCCCAGGAAGACGCCACAGCGGCAGCGCCACCCGAAGCCGAGGCCCTGTCCTGCATCGCCGCGATCGGCCACACCAGTAGTGACGGCAACATCGGCAGCGTGGGCGGTGGTAGTGGCGGAGGCGGTGGCAGTGGTACGTTCGCGCAGAAGCTGGAGGCCCTCGCGCGCGTGCTGCTCGACCAGCGACCTATGACGCAGGCGGAGAGTCTGCACAAGAAGCGGTTCGAGGAGATGGAAACTACCATCGAGCAGGTGGTGGCGCTGGTCCAGGCCGAGCTCGACGTCTGGCAGAAGCTGCGCCTCGCCGCGGCCCGCGACAACGTCGCCCCGACGCCTGCGATCCTCGACCAGGCCAGCTACGAGGGCTCGGTCCGCCGCGCCCTGCAGGAGCTGGTCGTGGCCCAGAGGGAGGTGAAGCGGGTCGTGGCCATCTCGCCGCTCATCTCGTCCGGCAGCTCGCTCCACCCGCTGTGGAAGCAGGTCCTTGACTGCCTCCAGCAGCTGGTCAACGAGATCAAGGCCGATGCCGGCACGGCCAGCCTGCGGCGCCGGCGGGACAAGGGTGCCTCGATCCCGACCATCTCGCTCATGTCCTACAGCCCCGCGGGCGAGACCACCGACATCAGCAACGGCTCCGTCGACAACCCGCGCGGCAACGGCGTGGTGGCCCACAAGAGCGGAGGCGAACTGGGCGTTGAGGGCAGGCAACAGCCCTCCCGATCGCTGTCGGCGTCCAACAACAGCACCACTCCCACCACCGGCGACAAGCCGTCCGCGAGTCATGGTCGTACGACGGCCGGCGGCGGGGAGAGGACCGGCGGGGTGCTGCTCCGGCTGCGGTCGTTCAACTCGGCCGACGATGCCAGCAAGCGGTCGGCCGCGGTGGTCCCCCGCGCGCCCAACAGCTACAAGCCGGCGCGCGAGGCCAAGGCCAAGCCAACCGTTGTACGCTCCAGCACGAGCGACATCGAACGGACGCCGTCGGGTCCGCCGTCGGGCAATGGCGCGCAGGGGAGCGGTACCAGCACGAGCGAGATCCTGGACAGGGACCGGGATCGATTCTGGCGCAGCGTGCGCAGTGCCAACAGCAACAAGAAGACGCCCAACGGCCCCGAGGAGCCCCTGGTCGTGACCCTCTGCAAGCAGAACATCCGGGCCTCGCTCCAACTCCTCCAGAGCGACGTCCTCTCCACCCCCTCTGCCGACGCGCGTACGTTTCAACTACACACTACATGCTCGCGCGCGCGTGTGTGTGGATTCTATTGGGACCGTAGCTAACCTGGACGATGCCCCCTAAGCAGCGGCGGTGCGAGAGGTGGGCCAGGGCAAGGCGGCGCTCAACGGTGAGGCGGCACAGTTGCTGTCCGATCTGGAGAGCGTGGAGGGCGTGCTGGACAAGCTCTTCCTCGTGTTCTCATCGGTTGACAGCCTCAAGACCCACAGCCTGGTGGACCTGACGGACTTCTCCAAGCTCATCTACGACCTCGTGTGCCGCCTCAAGGGCGTCGAGCGAGCCTTCCGGCGGTCGCTGCTCGACTTCAGCCTGCGGAGCCTCGGGACCGACAGCAGCCTGACGCGCGACAAGCTCGCCGAGCGCAACGCTGGCAACCTCACCATTTGGAAGACCATCATGCGCGACTCGGGGTCGCTCTTGGAGGAGACCGTGCTCGTGCTCGACTCCATCCGCCAAAACAACGTCGTCAAAACCATGCGGTACCACACGCCCGTCTCTCTCTCTCTCTCTCTCGCAGCGAGTACTCATTGCACTTGTCGACGCGGTGGCGCACACAGGCTGAACGCGTGGCAGAACCTGCGAGAGAAGGTGGCCCTGCAGGTGAACCGCCTCAAGCTGGACTTTAAGAAGGACGTGCCTTGGTCATCCAGCACCTACAACTCCCGGAGCGACGCCTCGTCTGAGGTACCCTCTGACCAGACCAGGAATTGTGACTGCGAGCGGTGGCTCATCTCGCCTTGCTCGTTGCTGTCGCTCAGGACATCATGCGAATGGTGGAGAAGGAAATCGCGGGGCTCGAAGTGGAGGTGCGGGAGGAGAAGCAGGCCGCCGCGGAGCAGGAGGCCACGTCATCAGCCATTGCGTCGGACCTCCTGCTGGCCGCGGGCGAGGGCTCGTCAGCTTCGTCGTACACCAAAATGGCGTCGCTGCTGCTGGACAGCCCGCCCGACGAGTCGGTGGTCTCGTCCACGCAGCAGAGCGAGAACGAGCAACAGATGAACGAAATCTTCGACTTCCTCCACAAGAAGCTGGCCAACTCCGGACTGGCCCGCTCGCGAATGAGCTTGCCCGTCGCCATGCCCACCATGCCGCCGCCAGTGTGCAACCCCGCACTCACGGACGCGCTCAAGCCCGAGCCTACGCTGCCCCCGCCGACCTCGGCGTCGGGCGTGGCTGTGTTCCACACCATACCAGATGTCGCCGACTTGCCGCCGCCGCTGGAGGAAGACGACGGTGCCGACTATTACGACGTCGACGAGCAGCCGGAGAACCAGAAGATGAACAACATCTTCTCCAAGCTACAGCAGAAGCTTGCCAACGAGGGCATTAAGACGATCCCGCCCACTCCGCGCTTCGTCTCGTCGGCCGAACAGGCCGTCGTTACCGAGCTCGTCGGCAGCGGTGAGTGCGAGGACCTGCAGCCGCTCTGCGCGCAGGCCACACTCCCCAGCCCGCCCTCGATCGAGATGCTTCCCAGCCCGCGGCTCATGGCCCTCAGCCTCCGCCGCGGCTTGGCCGGTTCGTCATTGTCGGGACTGGCCGCCGTGTCGATCCACCTCTACCATGCGCGCCTGCTGCCCTCTCGACAGCAGGAGCAGGCCGACGCCGACGCCATCGCCGGGCCGCGACCGCCGCCCAGTGCTCGGGGCGGGCGACTCGACATGTGCGCTCGCTGCGCACGCCACATCCCCGACGACCAGCCGCGCCTGCTCGCGTTGGGCCGCGTCTACCACCAGCCTTGCCTGACCTGCACCGGTACAGTTCTCTCTCTTCCACGCTCTGGAGAACAGAGAAGCATGTGGGGGCTGATTGCATGTGGTGGCGCTTGGACACAGGGTGCGGGCGGCTGCTGGAGCGCGAGTTCCACGCCAAGGAGGAGGCGACCTACTGCAGCGAGTGCACCCGCAACCCCGGCACGCAGCCGCGGCAATCTTCGTCATCGCTGCCCCCATCGCTACCAGACTTTGCGCCATGATGGTGGCCATAGCCCCGGCACCCGGAAGTGTAAATACACCCCCCCATACAATCACCCATCTTCAACTCATTGGCAGGGACCAGCAATGGTGAGCCCAACGTGCTGCGCTCGTCCCACTGCGCCCAGGAGAGTACCAGAGACTGCTGCCAGAGGAGAGATGTGGTCTGGCTCTGTCCCTGGGTCTTGGGCGCACACGCCACAAGATGAAGGTGACGGCCGTCGACAGGTCTCGTGGGGCCATCTGCGTGACATTTCGCCAGGCGGCCTCTGGCTTTTGTGCGCACCACCTTGTCCTGGGAAATCCCGCCCCAGCCTGATGTCAGCCGTCGTCGAGCCGAAGAGGTGATGCGATCATGGACTGGTCGAGCAGCGTTTCCGCACTGCCAAGTTGAACACAGCGTCTCGCTTTAGCAAAGCCCCCCCCTCGAAAGATTCAAGAAGTTGTCAAGAGCCTGGGCTAAACTCGAGATTCCTCGAACCTCTCATCTCTCTTGGCCAAGAAGTGAAGGTTCTACCAAGCGACCTCACAACCACCACCCATCTGTACAACACACACAAGGCTCCTCATGAACGCGGCAGCTGCCGCGAATCCACACGGCCCCTTGCGGCGCTCCTCTACCACGTCTTCATCCACTCCCTCATCTTCGGCGGCAGCCACGGCACCCCCGATGCCTACAGCCCCGCCTCCATCCACCGCCTCGCGACCTGCCTCTTCCTCCTCTCCAACCGGTGCTCCGGGTAGTGCCGGTGCACCTCCTTCTGCAGCCCCGCCCTCCGCATCCGCCAGCAGCATCGGGGCGGCCGTCGCGGCCCTCCCCTCAGCTCCCGCCCAGCTCAAAGCCTCCCTCCCCGCCATCGTACGTCGTTCTGCCCTATGCCAACAAAAACAAACAAAATCAAATAAAAATACAAATACAAATAATAATAATAACCGAAAATAATGACAATACAACCCAATGGACAGGCGAGAGAGGAGGCGAACGTGGAGCGATACCGGCGGGTGTTCGAAGAGCTGGACCTCGACTCCAGCGGGTCCCTCGACGAGCACGAGATACAGGCCGGCCTGCAGAGAATGGGGTACCCCTCGCCACCGTAGAAGAGTCAGCCGGTTGGTCTAACTCAGTCGCTGTGTCCGCTTGTGCTAGGCTGCCGTCGTCGGACAAGCAGGTGCACGAGATGATGGTCATGGTCGACGCAGACAAGGACGGCTCCATCTCCTACGGCGAGTTCGCCTCCTTTGCCCAGGAGAGGTTCGTCTTCCTCGCACACGGCGTGCACAGCCGACTGCAGTTTGAACTCAACACGACGATGCGTGGCCTCCACGAAACAAACAGAGAAAAGGATCTGAGGGAGCTGTTCGACGAGATCGACCTCAACGGCAACGGTCTGATCGAAGCCAACGAGATCCGCATCGCCCTCGAGAAGATCGGTAACGCACACGATGGACCTCCACCGCATTAAAAACCCCTCAAAGTGAGACGCGTCATGCTGATGGCCCTCCCCCACACTCGCAATGGGTGATGTGCAGGCATGAGCACAGAGGTGTCGGACGGTGATATCATCCAGCTGATCGATCGGATGGGCGTGGATCACACGAAAGGAATCGACTTCCAAGTCTTCAAGCGCATCCTCATGCTCTTCCCTTCTCGGTACGCACGCTCTCTGGATCTCTGGCTCTCTTAGCACCAGCGCTGGCGTGTATGGCCATTGTTTACCTTTATCATCGGCGCGCACCGCACCCACCCACTCTTTCATATACACAGGAACATATCCATCAGCAATGTATTCGACTACTGGTTCAGGCACATCATCGACACAGGTTCTGAACACCACGCTCCTCTCTTCTCTCTCTCTCTCGTGTGTGTGTGTGTGTGTGTGTGTGTGTGTGTGTGTGTGTGTGTGTGTGTGTTGGTTCTTCTACCGATCGTATGTCTTATTATTGCGGGCGTGCGCAGGGGATGAAGTCATCATACCGGACATAATCGACCACCCGATGAAACGCCTCATCGCCGGAGGCATCGCTGGTTCGTCCACTCCCCCAATCCCCCAGCCCACAGTCCCACGCAGCCCTCGCTAGTCTCCATCCATCCAACTGACTCCTCGTGGCTCGCTCAGGTGCGGTATCCCGAACAACCACGGCCCCCTTTGATCGCCTCAAAATGTTGCTGCAAGCCCAGAACTCTTCAGCCATGCTCGCCGGTACCACAATCTCATCTGCCCCTTCCCCTGTCTGTGCTGGCGCTATGGAAGAGGTCAGGCCTCTACCAAGAGAAGTGCTCACGGATCGTTGTTGTGGTGGTCACCGCAGGCGTTGCGACGAAGCAGCTGGCCGGCGGCAAACCAGCAGCGGCCCGTCCGGGTGTGATCCGCCCCGCGCCGGATGCGGCCGCGAGGGCTGCTGCGCCCGAGTACCGTGGAATCTGGAACAGCCTCAAGAAGATATACTTCGAATCGGGCTGGAAAGGTGCGTCTCTACCCCAGAGCTCCCAGAGTGCACTGTGCTCGTCGTTCTCATCGTCGTCGTCATCGTCGTCGTTGTCATTGTTTGGCGCTCTTCTCGTCAGGCTTCTATCGGGGCAATGGGACGAACATCATCAAGATAGCGCCCGAGTCGGCGGTCAAGTTCTGGGCCTACGAGTCCATCAAGCGGATGCTGTGCCGCGACTCGTCGGCGCCCGCCATCAAGGAGAAGCTCATCGCGGGCAGCGCCGCCGGTGCCATCTCGCAGACCGCGATCTACCCCCTGGAGATCACCAAGACCCGCCTTGCCGTCTCCGCGCCAGGCGAATACCGTGGCATCATGCACTGCATCTCTTCGATCGTCAGAACCGACGGTGTCTCGGCCCTGTTCAGGTGCGACACCTGCGCCAACTTTGTTGTTGTGCGACACTTGGATTCACACGACCGCACACGCACACGCACGCACAGGGGTCTGTTGCCGTCGGTGGTGGGGGTGATACCGTACGCGGGAGTGGACTTTGCGGTGTATTCCACCCTGAGGGACGTCTACACGCGGCGCTACCCGAACACGCACCCGGGCGTGCTCACGGTCTTCGTGTGCGGGGCGATCTCGAGCACGTGCGGCCAGGTGGTCGCCTACCCCCTGCAGCTCGTGCGCACTCGCCTTCAAACGCAGGGTACGCGCTCGATCCGATCCGATCTCTCTCTTTCGGTGATGAAGTACCGGAGCTTCCTCACCATCATCATATCCGCGATCTCTCTCGTGGTGGTGCAGGGATGGCCGGGAGACCCATGTTGTACAACGGAATGAGCGATGCCTTCTTCAAGATTTGGAAGTGTGATGGCCTGCTCGGTACTGAGACACCACACACGCGCGCACCACACACGCATATACTTGGCCTCACTCGTGTGTTGTGGTATGGGTGAGTGACGCGCAGGGTTCTATTCGGGCATATTGCCGAATTTCATGAAAGCGATCCCTGCGGTGAGCATCAGCTACATCGTGTACGAACAGGTGAGCCGGGGCATGGGCATCAGCAGCGGCCTCTGAGGGTGAGCGAGCGCTCACGAGTTGGTGTCCTTCTTCCATGTACATGTGCCCTTTTCTACTCGCCAACAACAAGACAGCTTTCCTAAGTTACTACTCACTCCTCGATCGCGAGTGGTATGCGCAACGGAGGGGTATTGATCATGAGAGTGTGGGTTGTGGCCACAGCCCAATGTCACAGCCAGCGCCATTCCAGAGATCCATCTGGTAATGCCACCGAGCCTGGGAGCTTTGCCAGCGTCCGGGACCAGCTGCACCACGTGTTCTCAGCTGCGCCAGGGCAACACTGATGTCCCGCACTAGGGTGGTCTAACAGCCCAAGATGATTCCCGATCGGGCGATTCTGATATCGGGCGCCCTGGGCCTAGCGCCGCTAGCGGCAACTCATCAGCACTTCCACAACATCGTCTTCTTACCGGCGCCGGCGTCTCCACTGGGGCGACACACAGGCACACTTACCTCTGCGTTCACGCTCAGAGTCAGGCATTCCTGCATTTCGAGGCTGTGCGGCCGTGGCCCTCCCGAAGGAGTCCATGGTGGTGCCGCACTGCCAGGCGCAGGGCTGCGGCGGCGTGCTCAAGCCCGACACGGTATCGTTTGGCCGCGGCTGCGCCACGCCAATATCGTCCGACAGGGCAGTGGCTCCACGCCTGCGATCCGCGACGGCCGTTGTGGCGAGATGATGGCCGCCCTTCAGCACTGACGTCCCACAATCCAGAGAAGGCATATAAAACAGAGAGAAGCTCTTCGTCGTTCAAAAGTTCTCGTAGAGCAGGGGCCGAGTGGTTGGTGGGAACATGGCCTTGATGACCCTCCGTGTAGCCTTGGGGAAGGAGTTGCCCCAGCCTCGGCCCTCGATCTCGTCGGCGCCCTCCTTGACCACTCCGAACACGAGAGCCGTCAGCCCGCGGACATCGAGCTGCGCGCCAGCGCCGTCGTCGCTGTCGTGGTGGTCGCCGGAGGCCTCGGCCTTGTCGCGGTGCTGGACGCGGAGGCGGCCCTGGTGGACGGTGAAGCGGTAGCGCTGCTGGTGGTTGGCCGGGAAGAAGGGGTCGAGGAGGGTGAAGTCGAGCTGCAGCCCGTCGTCGCCGCCGACGGGGAGTCCCTCCAGCCCCTTCACCGACACCACGCGGGCCATCTGCGGCTTCAGGATCTCGACTGTGTGCGTGTGCGTGTGCGGGTGCGTGTGCGGGTGCGTTACAGCGAAGTGTAAGAAGAGTATGAGGTGATCGCGAGAGACGAGCTAGAGGTCCGACCTGAGGTGATGTGGAAGGCGGCGTCGGCGACCAGGTTCTCAAAGTCTTCGTCGGGCGAGATGATCAGCGTGACCTCCTTGGCCTGGCGCGGAGCACACAGCAACCGAAGTCAGCCCAAATTACGGCTGCATAGGCAGCACATGGCGTACGTGCCTGATCCGTGTGAGAACCGATCCAGCTCAGGAGTGCGGTTCGGGCGGCGACGCTCGCGTAGGCAAACACGTCGACCTTCATCGTTCCCGTCATGAACGGCCCCAGCTGCCCCCGCGACACAACGCGCGCGGCTCATCAGCCCAACACTCACCACCATCACCTCCTGCAATGCGCGGCCCATTTTCACTGCGTGGCACTCGCGTACCGTGTAGCCGAGCACGCCGGCGATGCCCTTGTGGTCGCGCACCACCACCGCCCAATGCGGTATGACCTGGGGGTCGGAGAGAGTCGGGGTTGAGTCAGTCGCCAATGGCTGGCGTTTTGTTTTGATATCGGGCGGTGTAAGGTGTGCACCTTCTCGCTCCAGTCCATGTGCTTCTCCAGCGTCTCGTCGGCGAAGCGCGCGAAGCCGTGCACCTTCTTCTGCAGGCGCGCCAGCAGGTTGACGTACTCGTTCTTGTCAAAGCCGGCCGCCGGCACGCGCTCCAGGCGCAGCGCGGGCGAGGGTCGGAGGCCGGCGAAGATGGCCGGGGAGAAGACCACCTTGCGCTTGCTGTGGACGCACACGTAGCCCATCCGCTCGTAGAACGACGCCTTGAATGGGTACAGCGCCGAGAACGGCACCGCGTGGTCGCGCATCAGCCCCAGCGCGCTCTTCATCAACGCCGACACGTGGCCCTTTCTGGGTACCCTCTTTGCAGTGAGTCGCGACCGGCCAGCGATGGTGGCGATGTGCCGAGATGGCGACGATGGTGACGGCGAGAGGAGTGGTACGTACCGTCGTGACTCGGGATAGCAGGACACGCCGCGCATGCCGGCCATCCTGAAGAGGCCGCCTCGCACGTTCTGGGTCATCGGGATCACGCCCGCACCAGCCGCCACCCTGATCACGTGATGCCATTATTATTCATTTGCATTGCGTGCGCCTTGCGTCGGCCTTCGGGTTGGTTCGTTCGGCATTGAACGAGGCGAGGAGGGAGGAGGAGGGAGCGTACAGCTGCTGGGGTCCCACCTTGAGCATCATCACGAGGACCTCGGCCAGGTGCGGCGGCACCTCCTTTGCCTCCACGCTGTGGTTGGGCACGGGCCAGAAAATGAAACTTGAATTTAAATGAATAAATAAAATAAAATAGAATTGTTATTGCACTCAAAAAAGGGAGGGTACTGGGGGTGGTCGAGGCCGGTGGACGGCGCAAAGCAGTAGGCGCGAAGGCCCATCCAGTCCTTGAATAGCTGCACGTCGTTGACGCCCTGGTGGAGCATCGCCGCGTCGGCCTGTTCTTGCCCGCCTTCGCCCAACGTCACCACCGGCGCGGGCCTGAACGACCACCCCCGGCCCTTCGTCACCGGCCCGACACCATCACCACCACCCTCCTTCATCGAGGCAGCCTTCTCCTTCTTGGTCGAGCGCTCTGGAAAAAAACAGCCACACCGAGGCCTCCGGAGGTGCAAATTCGCCGGTTGGTGGCGGGACGTTGTTTTGTTTGCGGGCTGGTGAAGGTGAAACGAACGAGAAAGATGAAGAGAAAGAGAAGGGACGAGGGAGCGAAGGGCTTATGTGGGGAGGGCGCGGCGGAGCCAGATCCAATCGACGGCGACGAAGAGGACGGAGGCAAGGCCGAGCACGCCGAGCTGGATCCAAGCCTGGGCCAGCGTGCCGGTGGCGCCGTGGAGGGGCAGGGCCAGCGCGTAGAAGAAGCCCACCGCCGATCCCACGTTCTGCACGAACTGGAAGATCGTGAACGCACCCAGGCTCTTCCTCTCCGGATCGGGAAACAGCTGCCCCAGCGCCGCGTAGGTCTGTGTGCGGTGGTGTGCGTGTGCGTGTGCGTGTGCGTGTGCGTGTGCCGTGAGCTATGATGCCGTGCAGCGCGGTTGAAAACGGTAAGGAGCAACCTGTGTGTTGAAGGCTGAGTCGCCCGTGCCAAAGCAGTAGGCGGCGGCGAAGGCGGACAGAGGCGCTCCGAACAGGGTGGGCGACTCCCAGTAGCCGTACTTGAGGTACGACGTGAGCAGCAGGCCCGTGGCTGGAGAGGAGAGATGAAACCACCTGGCCGTGTCAGCCTATTGGGTTGACCGCGAGAGTTTGCGTCGTGGAGCTTCAGCGCACCGTAGAAGAAGGTTCCCAGGAGAACCGTGAACGAACGGCCCAGGCGGTCAGAGAGCCATCCCACCATCAGACCGCCCACCACTTCGGCTACGCCGGCGAACATGAGCACCAGACCGATCGTCTGCAGACATGCGCGCACGCGTCAGTTCGAACACGGTCGGCGCACGCCCCTTCGTGGAAACGTCGGGCAACCAGTCAAGTCGTACCGAGGGGTCGAGGAGCTGGGGGAATTCCCCGGTCCAGAAGGCGAGTTCGAAGCCGGTCAAGAAGAACATGGGGCTCAGCAGGAGGATGCGCGGATCGGGGAAGAGCACCACCACGTCCAGCCAGATCGAGCGGTACACCAACCCTGCGCCGTCCCGCACCCGCCGCCACATCCCGACGATTCCTCTCTGCGCGAGGCCAGGCAAGCCAACATGAGCACGAGACTCACAGCACGACACACGGAGATCGTACGATGGGCTTGCCGGGAGGGACGAGTTCGATGGTCTCTTGTCGGCGGGCCTTCTCCTCGTCGTCGCTGCCCGCGGCCAGGTAGGCCGGCTGCTGATCGTAGGCCGCGATGCGGCGAAGGAACAGGAGGGACGCCGCGCCGGCCGCTCCGACCGACGTGAAGACGGCGAACAGCAGCGCCTTCGACACGTGAGGCAGCACGAAGTAGGCCGCCAGGTTGCCGAACACGTTACTGAACTGAAATAGACCCCTGTGTGTGTGTGTGTGTGCGTGCGTGCGTGCGTGCGTGCGCGCGCGCGCGTGTCGAGCATGTCAGACAAACCCACCAGTGCACGCCGGACTGCCCTCTTGAACAGTGGCGCACGAACCAAAAGATGCCGGTGTGGGTGCCCCGCTTGCCCTTGGGGGAGCAGAGGGTGGCCGCACCGAAGCCGATGACCACCGACGCCCCGAGCACCGCCCACTCAACGATCTCTATCAACGAGGCCATGTACACCTACATGGTGGGAGAACCAGTCGCCTCTGGTTGAGTGTCACTCGCTAGCCATCACGTCGAGTAGTAGTGGTAGTGGTGTCATCGATGGTGAGATGGTGCGTACCACGTAGCAAAGGGCACCAAAGACCATGGTCCACTTCTCGCGGCAGGCGTAGACGATGGCAGGTGCCAGGAACACCGTCACGGCCACCGTCACGTAAAGCACGCCCAGAGACACATTGCCCAGGTTGCCTACGCACCCGCCAACACCATCAATGAGCCTCACACCGACGCACACTACTTGCACGCAGGCCTTCGCTCACGCGACACACAAGCCAAGGCGTACCAGGTAGCAGGGAGGTGACATAGTTCTGAATGGTGTTGTAGGCTGCGAAGAGGAGGAGGAAGGCTACGCTCATGATGAGCACGTTCAGGAACTCAACTGTGAGGTACACATCCCGCCACCCTCGCTCTTCCTCAGCCCCGGCCTTGCGCTGCGCTGTATCGTTGCCATTCCGATTTCCTCGTTCGAAATCGCGAGATTTAATGGGTGAGTCGTCTCTGGGCCACCCATTGTGCTCCTCCCCAGCGAGATCTGGTTCGTCATCACTCTCGTTGATCGAAAATGGGGAAGATTCGTGCTTGGTGCCCTTTGCCGCCTTCATCTTTGCCGTGTGGTCACCGTGCGCTCCACCGCGTCTCTTCGCTTGACGTGCTAATTCCTGAACACCGCCGAAACGTTTGCGAAATGAAAACGTAACGTTACAAAACTGCCAAGTTGTCAAGCCCGCCCAAACTTCTTCATCTATAAAGATGGTGTGGCTGTGGGTCCTGGGCGGTCTGGTATTGGTCCTCGCCTTCCTCGCCGTACGCTACCCTCTGCCAGCCCATACTGTTTTTTAAAAAAAAATAGAAACCAAATCATGTGGGATTGTGATGGCAGGCGTGGCGTAATGGAACTGTGGGGGCGGGGGCGGGAGAGCCGCCTGGGTGGGACAGATGGTTCGTGCCGCTGGTCGGGGAGACTCTGCACTTTGCACGCGACACTGTGGGCTTCCTCTCGGCGAGGCAGCGCCGCTATGGCAACGTCTTCCACTCACACCTCTTCGGCCAGTGCGCCTCCCTCGCCCCTTCTCTCACCGGCATACAAACTTGGAGTGACCACTGTGTGCTGTGTGGTGCGTGTGCGGTGTGCGTGTGCGGTGAATGTGTGTCTCGCGCTTGTCAGGCCCACGCTGGTGTTGATCGGAGCCGAGGCGTTCGCCTTCTTGTACGAGGAGGAACGGAAGGGCCGCATCGTGAGCGCCAACGCCCAGCTCCAGATCTTCAAGGAGATCCTGGGCGACAAGATCCTCAACGAACGCGAGTGCGCACTGCTGCATCCCAACACCACGCCATGTCATGCTCCGCCCGTCGATAAGTTAACTGACGCCGCGCTTGACGTGGGTACTGTGGCACAGGGACCACTCGTTCCATCGCGCGATGGTGACGCAGCCCATCCTGGGCCGCAGCACCCTGCAGGCCATGCTGCCCAAGATGCAGGCCAACCTCGCCCGCCGCGTCGAGCACTGGGTCACACTCGGCACCTTCGAATGGTACAAACATTGTTTCACATCGCCGCATACAAGTGTGCGTTTGAGTGTGCACGTGCGTGTGCGTGTGTGCTCACCAGACTGTGACCGGTCGCACACGCGCAGGTACACGCAAATCAAGGAGTGGGCGTTCGACAACGCCAGCGCGCTGGTGTGGGGCTCCGACATCTCCCAGCCCTCCGACGAACGCCACCGCCTCTTCGAGATTTTCGAGAGCATGAACAAGGGCCTCGGCGGCTGTCTGCCCATCAAGGTTCGCCCTCTCACGCCACCCACCGCCTGCCCGTCGCTGACCGTGTGTGGCGACGTTCAGCTGCCGGGCACGCAGTACAGCAAGTGTCTCGAGTCGCGCAGGCAGTTCGGGGAAACGGTGGGGGCGCTGGTGGAGGAGCGGAGCCGGGTCATCAAGCAGAAGGTGGCGGAGCTGAGGAGCGACGACCCGCTCCGTCGGATCGAGTTCAAGGAGCTCAGCGTCGGCGACGACCTCATCAACAACTACCTCTTCGCCCTCATCAAAGCGCAGCGAGGTTCCTCTACAGCCCCTGCCAGAAGCTTCTGACATTGACTGACGTAGCACTGCGGCCGCACACACAACCGCACACGGACGACAGAGCTGCCGGTGAGCGAGGTCGTGGACATCATTGCGGGCCTCTACTTTGCCGCGCATCACACCGTCACCTCGGGCCTCACCAACATCATGGTGGCGCTGGAGCAGCGTCCGGACGTGCGGCAGAAGGTGGTCGAGGAGCAGGAGACGGTGGTGGGCGACAGCGAGGACCGATTCACCTACGAGCAGCTCAACAGCATGGTCTACCTCCAGAAGGCACGTTCACAGCTCGGCGCCTGCGCTCTCTCAGGCTTGCATCGCACCGCACCCTTGGCTGACTTGTGTGGTGTGGTGGTGTCGTTTGTGTAGGTCATCAAGGAGACCATGAGGCTTGTGCCGCCCGCCACAGGGATCATCCGCAAGGTGGGGCCAGAGGACGTAGAATACAACGTACGTTGTCCGCTGCTGCTCCTTGGCCAACTCTCGGCCGACGCACAAGCAGGAGGCCGCCCAGTTCTCACGCCTCTCTCGTTCTTTTTTTCTCTGTGGGGGGGCAGGGCTACACGCTGAAGGCGGGGCGGTCGATCTACGCCAACATCATCCTCACGCAGCGCGACCCGAACCACTTCACCGACCCCGAGACCTTCGACCCCGAGCGCTTCTCCCTCGACCGCGCCGAAGACCAGAAGGCCAAGTTCGCCTGGGTACTTACTGATCTGGCCCCAGCCTGCGCGCCACAATCGCTTCTGGCGCTGGCGCTGACGTTGGCGGGGTGGTGGTGGTGCGCGCAGGTGGTGTTCGGCGGCGGAGGGCACTCGTGTCTGGGTATGAAGCTGGCGCTGCTGGAGCTGAAGATGATGACGTCGTACCTGGTGCGCGACTACGACTGGCAGGCCGTGCCCGGCCAGGACATGCGGATCGAGTGGGCCGCCCTCTCGCCTTCCCCCAAGGACCTCTACAAGGTCCGCTTCTGGCAGAAGAAGCAGCCATCCGCCTAGCGAGAGGGGGGGGGGCAAAGAGCGAAAAGCGACAAAAAAAGATAACGCGGTCTTATGGTAAAGAAGCCACGTCGACGTAAGACGTAACGGCGTGCGTTCATTTGGAGTGGTGCCTGGTGTCGGGCTTCTTGCGCTTGTAGGTGAACATGAGGGTGGGGTCGATGTGGAGGGACAGGTCCTTGGAGTGCTGCTGGCTTCGCTCCTGCAGCTTCTGCTTCACCTTGCCCGGCACCGGCTCAGGCGCCAAACTATGACCACAGACCACGGACATCAGCACACACACAAACACACACACACGGAGGACAGAAGCGAGTACTCGTCGGGTTGGAAGTAGACGAGGAGGTGGAGGATCTGGAGGTCGTTGAGGTGGGAGAAGGCCTGCGCGGTGTCGACTTCGAGGAACATGGCCTTGGAGATGGACAGCACGTTCACCGCCTCCCGGATGTGCGCGAATTGTCTGCACACATCGCGGTGCATCAGACGGTCAGTAAGCTCTCGGAGCTAAAAAAAAAGGCAGTGAAGCGGGTGGTATCGGAGCGGTACTTGGATTTGCGGTGGACGAGATTGACTCGCCGTCGCCAGGAGGTGAGCTGGGAGAGCATCGACTTGACGGCCAACGCGTTCGCCACGGTGGCCAGGTGGCGCGCGTTGTCGATCAAATGATTGAACAGCGCCGCATCCATCACGTGATACGTCTGTTCACCACCACCACCACCACCACCACCACCACCACCACCACCACCACCACCACCACCACCACCACCAACCAATTAGCCAAAGACACGACACGCACACGCACAGCACGCACACGACAAGCGCACCTGGGTGAAGAACTGCTGTACGATGGTGCAGTAGACGTTGTTGGACATGAGGTTGTAGAACATCTTGGAGAGCACCAGCAGGATGTCGTTGCCGTTCTTGGTGCAGTTGTAGTCGCCGTGCGCGCTCGCGGGCAGGGCCAGACCGGACAGGAACGACGGCGTCGACGTGCTCCGCGGCAGGCTCGCGCCCGCCGCCGCGCGGTGGTTGGACCCGGGCGGGGCCAGCGAGAGCGCGGGTACGGCGGCCGACGACACGGACCGCCCGACGTCGCGCAGGGGGCTGGCCGCGCCACGCGGGGAGGCGAGCGGGGCCGCGTGGTGAGTGGCCGGCGACGGAGCGTGGGCCGACACGAACGGGCTGGGCGCCATCCGGCTGTGGTAGAACACCACCGGCACCAGCAGCGGCTCCAGCTGCTTCGTAATGATCTTCAGCAGATTCGAATACACCCTGCTCACGAGCAACCATTCATCACCACCATCGTCATCGTCAGCATCATCAGTGTCACGTGTGTGCGTGCGTGCGTGGACGGTACCGTTGGGTGATCTGGAGGAGCTTGCAGGCGAAGCCGCAGATTTCGATGCGGCGGGAGAGGATGATGTATTCGGTGGAGGTCTCGGGCATGCTGGTGATCTTGCGGATGAGCTTGTTGGCCGACATCAGCTGAATGCCGTTCTTCCGCGGGTCCCGGATCTGCCGCATGCCCTCCAGCTTGCCCTTCGTCTCCTGCTTGAGCAGGTGCAGGAACGACGTCGTGTACGACAGCCAGAACGCCTGCGCCTTCAGGTCGCGCTTGCACATCTTTTTATGTCCGAGCGCGTGTGCGTTAGCAATACTTTAACTCCGAGCCGTGCATCACAGCGTGGGCGAGAGGGTGGGTGCCTTGACGCAGGAGCTGATGGCCTTGAGGATGTTGACGAGGAAGGTGTTGCAGGTCTTGATGAAGGCGCGGTTGGCGGTGGGCACGAAGAAGTTCTCCTCGCGCAGCTTGAGCAGCAGGCGGTGGGTGGCCACGGGCACCTTCTCGTCCTCGTCCTCGTGCTCGTTCAGGCCCTCCCCGCAGTACTCGTCGATCTCCCGCTCGATCTTGCTCTTCTTCACCTCCCCACCTGCGTCCATCACACATTGCGTCAATTCACGATCACACGACACGCACGACACGACACGCGCACACCGCACACGCGCGTACTGGGAGCAGTGAGGATGAGGGGCGGAGGCGGCGGCGGTGCGGGGGGCTTGGGCACTCCTCCGCGCGGCGCCGCGGCGGCGGCAGAGTCCGGTAGGGGCGCGCCGGAGAGGGC